AGATCAGCAAATTATGGACTTGCGGAATTCATATCTTTATAAAATAGTTAAGAATGTTCTGTAATTAATCATTAATGTTAAGTGTAAGTAATTAATCAAGAAGCGATGAAAAAATAAGTACCGAAGAAGAAGTAGAGAGAAAATAACTGAAATAATTATAAATAATTAAATAAAAAGTATGAAAGAAAGAGAAACCTTCCTATATATATATATAAGTAAAGACATAAAGTAAGAAATCTGGAACTATTTTTCACAAAGACCAATCATTGAAATTCATAATTAATAAATTTCAAATAATCCTATAAGTGCAACAAAGAATTTAAAAAATGTTAAGACCAAAGATTTTAAACAAGAAACATCCCAATTAAAAAATTTAATGAAATTTAAAGAAAAATGAACGTAACAAAAGGGTAATTCAATCAACTTCAGTGCCACTTCGTCAGGGGGGAGGAACACTGAAATTAATTGAAATCTCTCTTCTAATATATATGTGTGTATGCATATGTATATATATATATTGTATATATATATGTGTGTGTGTATGTTATGTATATATATTGTATATATATAAATATATATATACATGTTTCAAGTGTATATTTCAAAATTTTCGATAATCTAGACGAGCGATTCTTAACCGGTAGTACGCAACAAAAAAATGGGTGGAACGCAAAGAAACAAATTATTTTTAACTATTAAATTCAAAAATTAAATAATCCAACATCCTGTTTAAATTTTTTCTGTAACACTCGTAAATTTATGCGATCTGAGCTTTGCTCAAGGTCAATAACTACTAACAGACTTTAGCAAAATCAACGGTTTTCATTTTCAAAAATATGCTTTTAGCCATATACATAACAAAATTTGTCATAAATGATGAATTAAAAGGAGTAATAGAAATGGATGTTGTATTTAATAGGAAATAAAAATAAGTTTATGTGAAAAGAGGATAATAGTGTCTCATTAATTCTTTTAAAGTCGATCGATTTATTAGCATGTCCACGCTTTTCGTCGCACCATTTCCAGGCTCATGTTATTCTATTTACAATAAGAAAAAATGTTTTACGTAGATTTTCTATCTCTAAGAGCAGGTATTTTGTCTTCTTGTTGCTTTGTACTTGAGAATACCATAAATACTTTTCAAATATATCTTATTATATATAAAGTAATAATTGAACAAAGGTCGTTATATCAGTACTTTCATCCAATTGCAATGCAAAATACTCACTGTGTTATATTTTTCATTCATTATTACGTTCATTAGCCGCTCTTTCTCTGAATAATCTTAAAACGATATCTTTTTATTATCCAGCTAGTAATACAAGGTTTTCTCCAATAATGTGAACCTGCCAAATTTTGTTTGTTTTTGAGAAACTTGAAATATATTGCGCGGTTAAATATTTATGAAAAAATAATAAAACAAACCTAGATGTTCAAAATGGAAAAATGGCTAGGACTGACTAAGCGGACAAGTGATGATTCACAGGTGATGGATCCAAGACGATCTACTAGCTCTAAGAATATTGAAAAGAGAAAAAAAACTATTTAATGGAAAATATAATGAAAGTTATTTTTCATTTGAGTTTACTTGGAATGAAAATGAAGTGGACCTTCAACCTCAAAGTATTGTTTGCGATGAACTATTATTCAATCAAATTATGAAACCATCGTTTCATCGTTTCTTAACAGACATTTTGAATCTAAACATGCCAATTTAAAGTATAAATCTGAAGAATTTTTAAGAGGAAATTATCGAAGTTCAAAAATAGTAAACATATAATGAAAGGTTTTGTTAATTCAAGTGAAAATCTTTGGACAACAGTTACCTGGTAAACCGAAGCATTGTCAAAATTTGGCAGGCTCACACTATAGAAGAAAACCTTGTATTACTAGCTAGATAATAAAAAGATATCGTTTTAAGATTATTCAGAGAAAGAGCAGCTAATAAACGCAATAATGAATGAAAAATATATGTAATAATGAATGAATAATATTCCGTTCTCAAATGACACAATAAATGGACGAATTCTGAAACGGTAAATTCCATAAATGGGACACTTATTCAAAAAATATGTGAAGTAAGATAATATAAAAAAATAAGTGAGTATTTTGCATTGCAATTGGATGAAAGTACTGATATAACGACTTTTGTTCAATTATTACTTTATATATAATAAGATATTGCCGAAAAGTATTTATTTTGAGAATCCTTCATGATAGAGCAACTGCAAATGAAATTTTCAAAGTAATTGAGAATTTTATTTTAACAGGAAAACATTCCGGTGATATTTCTTATTTAAAAAGTCGGACCTGGAACTAAATTTATTGACTGCATCGTGACGCTTAGTAACGAAAACAATCTCCGAAAACTTGAAATTCGTTCAAAGTCGTGAAAATTGTTAATTTTATTAAAAGCCGAGCTTTAAATTCAAGAATATTTACCATTTAATGCCAGAAGATGGGCAGTGAACATGAAACGCTCTTGTTACATTTCGAAGTAAGGGGTTATCCAGAAGCAAAGTTTTAAATCGTGTTTTTGAACTTCGATCAGAAATTCAAATTTTACTCTGCGATTCAAGATTTGAATTGCAAAATTGTTTATTTAGTGAATTTTTAAATATTTAGTTTATTAGTGGTTGGCGCGCTTAGCATGTTTAGCTGACATGTTTGAAAAGTTAAATTAAATTTAGAATTGCAAGTACAAAGTGTTAATTTCTTTACCATTAGAGATAAAATAAATGCAATGATAAAAAAAACTAGAGCTAATAATCAAAGAATTGGATAATAATATTTTAAGCTTTTTACCTCTTTTAGAAAGTTTTCTAAACGAAAATAATTTGAAAATAAGAGAAGAATTAGCATCCTACATTAAAATTTTTTCTTTTTCATTGATAAATAATTTCAGCGTGTATTTTCCCGAGGATTGTGAAAACGAAATTGGATTAGAAATCGATTTTGTTAAAATGTACCCGAAATTTTATCTCGTGAAGGAAACAAACAATTGATAGAAATATCCTGTAATCGAACTCTAAACGAGTATTTCGAAAATAACACACTTATTAACGTTTGGCTAAACAAAAATGAATTTAAAGGCACTTCAAATAAAGCTATAAAACACTGGGAAAAAAAAAACACCACTGAAAGCTTTCAGATTTTACATTACGCCCTAAGGGGCGTTTTTTTAACGTTTTGTGTGTTGCCTTTATTTATTAAATATCATTTTCCTCGCACTTAAACCATAAAATTTAGTTCCACAGCAATATCGCAAAATAATTTTAAAATGAGCATATCTTAAAATTTCCGATACACAGTCTCGCGAGCTGGAGATTAAAATATTTTTTTTTCGTGCATTGTTGCCATTCCTCCCTTTGAAATCGTTGAGTTTCTTAATCAAAAATTCTTTAATATCTGACAAAATATGAAATCGATAATAAAACATATTCCAGAATCCAAATTAGGGCTTCCAGGTCCTCATATTCGCTGTAGAATTACGTTATTCAAAATTTGATGGTTCTAGGAACCGTTGTTTTATGCGAGGAACATACATTATATAAATGATGTAGATTCTTCATTATTTAATTTCTGTAAATATAATACAGGACTGTAATAGTTGGTGGAAACAGTTTGAAAATTGAATCGACGCAAAATGTCGAAACGAAATTAATAGCCCTACTGGGCTAACACCCTTTGGGCTAAAAGGTGGATGCTAATTTTCGGTTAAACCTAAGTGAAATATGACCAGACATAAAAAAAAATCCGTTTTACACTCCTAAATTTCTCACTAAATTTTAGCATTTAACTATTATAACTTCGATTTTGATAATTAAAATATTAACCATTAACCAATTTTAATCTAATATTTATATGTGTGCTTATTTAATAGAAATAGCCAATTTGTTCTGCAACTGGCAATATATATATATATATTTTTAATATTTCTATTGAGAAATCAAAAATTAATCATAGTGAAATGTAGTTGTAGCACTAAAAGTTTTCAATTTTTGTTTAGATGGCACACGTTAATCAAAAGCTTGAGAACCGTTGATCTAGATTAGCGGTTCTCAACCTTTTGACTAACGCGTACCATCTAAACAAAAATTGAAAACCTTTAGTACCACCACTACAAAGTACTACTACCACCACCACTCTTGAACAGAGCTCAGATCGCATAAATTTACGAGTGTTAGATAAAAAAACTCAATCAGGATGTTGGGGTTTTAATTTTGGAATTTAATAGTTAAAAATATTTTGCTTCTTTGCGTACCATCGGTTGAGAGCCCCGCAATATATGTTTCTAATATTAGTGTAAATGTTGTATCGGTAAAGTGTATTTATAATGATTCCTATTCTAAGTGTATGTCCTGCTGTAAAGTAAGGTGAGTATCTAAATGGTAATAATTGTGTAATAATGTCCTGAGCTACAACGAAATTGATGTATTCCCTACTGCTATATACTGAATGCATAGACGCAAGACAATAATATCTAACCTTTTGGCAGAATGATGGTTCCTCCATTTCTCGCCAACTGTCAACTGTAGCTGAGGAGCATTATACTTACTTTAATATTATACTCCTCGTAAGTATAATTCTAAAGTAAGCATTATACTTACGAGGAGCATTACATTTACTTACTTTCTTGCCCAACCAAATATGAAATTATGATTTAAATATCATTACTAGTTTTCTAAAATATACTTTAAAATATATAACTCAATGCAAATGCTTTTAAAGGCATGGTCTAGAACTTCTAAACTGACTGAAAGTCAGTACTTGAAATTAACAAATGTAATAAAACCAAAGTTTTAGACAGAACTTTTTATTTATATCTCTAGTTTGGTAAATAAAATACAATCAACTTATATGTTTACATAGAAAATGATTAAAAAATATCATTTGTTGTAAACAGGGTTTTAATTAGCAAGTTAAATAAAATGCTATAAGATATATATATAACATGCATTTGGTATTTCTGTAAATCTGAACCGAGTATTTTTTTACAGAGTCTTGCAATTAAGCGTAGTGTTAAAGTCTCCACGATGCTACTATCTTCCTTTACTGAAAATGAAGCTCTATTTAGTTGGCATTACGTGGGACGATCGCAAACTCCTGCCGGCTGAAACAATCTTCCATGGTAAAAAGCAGAATTTTTGTCTATAATTTGTTTAACCTTATTTATATAGAATATCACGTTTTTTTTCATTCGCTAAGAATGCTATATTATAGTTTTACGCAATTAGTATTTAATATATTGAACTGCATTTTCATGACTTGATCGAATGATCGCTTCAATTCTTCTAGAATTTAGTTTTATCTATATTTAAATTAGAAGTCTGTTTCAGTGCAGAAGTCAGTTCATTGTTATTTAAGTTGCAAAAAGTTAAATTTTAGCAGTGAGTTAGTCATTTTCAGTGGGTTAAATGTTAGCAATGAGTTAGTCAGTTGCAGTGAGTTAGAGTATCCAAATTTTAGAAATTCATGTTTGTCGAAAAATAATTATAGTACAACGATATTGTGAAACAATACTGGCATAACATAAACAGTACGTATAAAAGCATAAGTATTGTGTGTATTTAATTTAAAATTGAAGCAATAGTATGCAGCTTCATGGCATTGTATGCTGTGCTAAAAATTTATCAGAAATCGTGGAGCACATACATAGTATATCTCAGTTGTATATGGGTACTGCTACAACTGAGATTATTTTTGCAACATCAGAGTGGGAAACATTACTGCATATAAATTTAATATGGCATCTAAGTGATAGGATGATTTACCTGTTGGTGCTGAAAATGAAGGAAAACATTCAAACTTCTTGACGCAAAGAGATAATTTTCGAGTTACTCATAACCCTTTTTTATCTGATAATGGTTCACCTTCAAGACAAACGAAACTAATATAAGACCACTGACAGGATATTAATAAAATTGGACGGATGCTTGGAATATTAATAAAAATTATGACAATGGTGAAATACGGTAGAAAGATTTATCAGATAACAACTCATATATATGCGTGTAGACATATGATTATGATTGCACACTACATTGAGCCATCTACAGAACAGAATTATTGTCCTCATTATCGATGCAACGTGTTATCTAGAGCTTATGATAATTAACGCTCTGGACAAACTTTTAATAGGATAACGGAAGAAATTATCTAACAGCTTCAGTAGCACAGCAGCAGTATACTTGTTTCCAAATGACAAATTTATGAGTTGAGTAGAAAATTGAAATCTTTCCATCCAATCATTACATTAGTACCAAATAAAGCAGATCTCTTAGATAGCCCAGGAACATGAATCCCTTCTATAATTCTTAGCCTGTTCCCGAGAGAAGTGGAATAGGTCTCCGATCAATGGACATTGAACTTAATAACTACTAAGCCAAAGTCCAGATCTGTACAAATTGTAAGAACTCGGCCTGCTAATCAGTAACGTAATGCACTCTTTGCAGATCATAATCGTTTTAGTTTACCATCTGTTTCAAAACCACTAACAGACCTTAAGTTAGAATGTTAATAAGCTATTAAAGATAGATACTCATATTAAGGTAATTGTCTGTGGGTGGATGAACGTAATTATAAATGGATGAACTAGATTCCAGAAGCACTATTTATGTAGTAATTCTTTCCTTCTCTCCATAGTTAGTACAAGGAATTCATAGTTATGGATGCTAACGTACAGCCATACAGCGTGTCATAGAAAATGAGCTAAATTCAAAAAGTGCCAAATATACTGAAGATTTTCAATTCTTCCTCGCTGCATCAACATCAAATTAATATCAGAATCGTATTGACAATTTTCAGTTCAGTTTGGTATGTCTTAACACTATTTTTAAATACGTAGTTCTTTAGTCAGCTACACCATTGGAGAAAATATTCAACATTATACACTGCTCGACGTTGAAAATGCAACACCAAGAAGGAGTGATGAAATTTGGAAAAAAGACAGAGACAGCAAAGAGAAATAAGTGATCTTTATTTCAAAATGATAGTCAGAATACAGAGCGAGAACGGCGTCGGCTCAGTAGGACGTAGGATCACCGCGGACAGCGATGCACGAAGAAACACGTCTAGGCATAGAGTCAATAAGAGTGCGGATGGTGTCCTGAGGGATTACTCTCCATTCCCTTTCAACCATTTGCCACAGTTCGTCTTCTGAACGAGGCAGGGAGAGTCTGCAAACGGCTTCCCATCACATCCCACACATGTCCGATTGGTGACAGGTCAGGAGAGTCCGGTGACCAGGGAAACATCTGTATACCTTGCAGAGCATGTTGGCAGATGCGAGCACTGTATGGTCGGACGTTATCCCGCTGAAAAATTGCATTACGCAGTCCCTGAAGGTAGGGGATTGCCACCGGCTGCAGTACAGTATCCAAGTACCGTTGGGTCGTCATAGTGCCCTGAATACGAACTAGAGGGGACCTGGAATCACAGGCAATAGCGCCCCAAACCATTATGCCACGTTGTCGAGCGGTGGGGCGTTCCACAGTTACTGCCGGATTAGATTTGTCTCCACGTCAACGCCACACACGTATGCGGCGACTGTCACTGGATAAACAGAATCGTGACTCATCTGAGAACACGACGTTTCGCCATTCTGTCATCCACACCGCTCCAGTCCGGCACTATTCTAAACGTTGGCGTCTATGCTGTGGGGTAAATGGCAGTCTTCTTAACGGACGCCGTGAGTGCAGGCCACGTTCAACCAATCGACGGGAAATGGTTCTGGTCGACACGGGAACATCCAGGGTATCGCGGTACAAGTGACGTGCGGGACCGCCACAGCTTGCCGGCGGAGGCGTCGATCCACGCGTGCTGACGTCACTCTGGTTGCACTTGCACCCCTCCTTCTTCCCAAATTTACTTTTTCCAACCATGTTCGACATAGCCGATGCACCGTGCTCGCATCCATGTGGGTATCAGCTGCGATTTGACGTAAGGACCAACCAGCCCTTCTCATTCCGATCACCACACCCCTCGTAAAATCGTCTATCTGCTGGAAGTGCCTTCGTTGACGGCGGCCTGGCCATTCTCTCCTATTGCACGTATCCTCCGGGGCAAAAACCAACTCTCTTCGATAATTCGTCTAGCAGAAATAACGATACGAATATTGCCCATTCTGCACGTTCCTTCCCTTATATCTTACTTCACGTGCTTCGCAGAGCTGCGCATTTCACATCAATCGCATAACTCAGTGACGTGCGTCTACTCTAAAATTTGCATAAATTTCTGACCACTTCTTCTTGGTGTTGCATTTTCAATGTCGAGCAGTGTATATAACTCGTATGGCTTATTTGGGTCTTTAAAGACGAAAAAATAGCTCGCCTCGGTTCTAGCATAATTTGATGCTAAGAATTAACCGTACGAAGTATATATTGCAGTTCAGGTTGGACACGTTCGTTATTCCAATGAAATTCTGTAATTTTTAATGTTACCGGTGAAAGAATTAGAGAATATAAGGTAATATACTGTCAGAGCATAACTAAATATATGATTAAACTTTTAACTATTAAGGGACCACTTAATGTCCATATTTAGAAACAACAGAATAACGGTGTTCCGAACCTATAGCATATTATGAATTTCAGTATTTTATGAGCCTTAAAATGAGAACTGTACTTAAGTTTTAGACCCTAAGTTACTTATGACGTGGAAATGCATTGCAAAGGGGAATAAAATAGAATTTTTAACAATGTATGTTTTTAATGTGATATGAATTTTCTTTAAAGCTGATGTATGAATTTACATCCTTGTCAAGTTTTACAAATCTAATAATATTAATTATAATAAAAGTAGAATTACCTTAAAATTATGGGTATAAAATTCTGTAATTCTTAACGTTACTGGTGAAAGAATTAAAGAATATAAGGTAATATAGTTCTTCTGTCAGAGAATAAGTAAATATAGTATTAAACTTTGCAATCTATCTAGCTTATAATAGGAATGTATGCCATATAACATGTTTTGTACGATTTTTTTAGGAGTAATATTAGAAAAAATTCTGATGTGTACACCACATGACTTCCTTTTACGGAATATTAAGTTATACGCATTTTTTCTTGCATTTCATTTAAACTTATTGGATTGAATTAAATCTACATCGCCGACAGCCATGTAGAATAAATGCATTCTTTAAAGTTCACTAAATTCACTCTAGTATTTGTTTACCATAGCGACACGCTGCCGCTAGATTCACTTAAGTATTAATAATTATATAACAGTTAACTCATATAATAATTATATAACGGAAACTAAGTTAACTGTTATATAATCCAATAATTATATAACAGTTAACTCATATATTTCATTCATATTATAACTCATAATGCACAAAATTTATATCATTTAAAGAATAGAATTACCTAATCGTTGCCACATGTTCTATTCAAATACTGTAATAAAGCTAGAATGATGTATAAAAGAAATTAAGCAAACAAAACAAAAAATAAACAGTTTTTCACAGACGATTGAGTATTTCTCATTTAATTAATTCAGTTCTCACTTCGCGACAAGGCAAAAATACATAAAAACTCAAAATATCTATATTAAAAATTACTAAGTAAATCTTAAACACTTATTTCCTCGAAAAAATTCCAGAAAGAATTAAGCATGATTTAATTGGCAAAAATAAATGAATGCGTTGTCTTTGTTGTTGCGAAGCTAAGTTTTTCTAGATTGGCAACAAATCCACTAGTCTCCTGTTTCAAATGTAAACATCAATGGCCGCCATAAAAAAAGGCTTAGCGGCACATTAGCGGACATCTTTAAAATTGTTGATAATTCTAAAAATATTGCATACAGATTTACTAAAGGCATAAAACCTTAACCGGAAGATAAAAACAACATAATACAATCATTTTTAAAGCAAAAAATGTACAATTTACAAACATATAAGAGTAAAGAAACTGAGATCACTGAGCCGGGTAACAGAGTGGATATATATATAAATATATTTATATACGTTTGGTGCGGCCGATTGCAACCAAAATACGAGGTGCACATCTACATGTTATAGCAGTCCTATATACAAAATTTCAACGTTCTGAGGCTGCTCGTTTTTGAGTTATGCGAGATACGTACGTACGTACGCACGCACGTACGTACGCACGTACATACATACGTTCGTACAGACGCCACGAAAAATTCTCTTCAGAATTAATTTTTTTGAAGGAAAAGAGTATTTTATTCTGTCCTTACGTACAGATATCACTCAAAAACATCGTTAAATTGCATTCGATAGCGATCAAAATGGACATTTTCGTTGAAATGTGCTGCCTGAAACTTTTCGCGATTACAATACTTCCTTTTTACTTCGTACAAGGAAGTAAAAAGAACAGTAAAGTCTGTGAAGCATTGACGAATTAGTAAAATTAAGGAAACACGATATACGGTTCACCTGTTCCATTATTTCTCAGGTGAACCTAATTACATGGTTAGGATTCAAAAGTAAAAGTTTGATTAAATTTTCGTCTGTGGCTTGAGTTTAAGATTTAAAAATGTGCTTTGCATTTATCTTGCATACCTTAATAAGCGTTTAAAGTATGGTTATTTTAATCTTAAAAAAATGCAGCAAAAGACAAGAAATTTTATCTTCTGCATTGAAATATATATTTATTTTAACTGTAAGTATAGAGTTTAATTAACGTTTATCATCGGATGTATTACAAAAACAGGGTTCTAAAGATACAAGTAGTTGTAAAGTAATTCAATAACATGTTTACAGATAAAAATGTTTCCAAAATTGTAGAGTCATATTTTCATGAACAACTGCAAGCATGTTAACTGCAGCACAAATTTCGAGAGTTATCAATTATATCAACTTGTTTTTTCAACACAGAAAGATTTTTAAGATATGTATGCAAAGCTCACTCATTTCAAGGACGTAACTACGAAACATTTCAATAGAAAAGAATATGAGAATTTTTAATAATAATTCGTTTCAAAACTTTCGCTTCTGGAATTCGTATAAGTTTGAAGTTAATTATAAGTGAAGTATACTGTCCTCGGATTGATTTTTCAACTGTCTTTAAACTAAATTCTCGAAAAACCCTTACTATGTCATTGAGTTGTGATATCAAATAAATTGCTACTTTTACTTCATTTTAGGTGAAAAAATGTTTTTAAGAGATCTCGCGAAATATTCAGTTTATACTTTGATTCTCATTCATGAAATTTGTTTCTAAAGTGGAATCAGTTACTAATGCTACGCACGGAAGTATAAAAACATGTTCTATGACTTGCAGATGAATATGTGTATTCATTTTAAAAGGTACGCTTCGTTTGCCTTAATTAAGTTTCATTTACGATGAGTATGAAACCTAATGAAGGCTCGTAATTTACGTTGAGTAACTACATTGCAGTCTTCTTCAAGATGGTGAAATGGTAGAGTCGATGCTTTGCAAGAGATGGAAAATGAATCACCTCTGCCTCCATGTGGAAGAAAATGTAGATCTGGTAAGAATTTTTGTGTGTGTGATAAGTGCTCAGTACATTTAGCTTTAAATTTCAATTGAATGCTTACGAAAAAAAAACGTAAAAGTAATAAGGGAATAGTCGTAAAAAAAAGAGGTGAAATTTCATAAATAGAGTAGAAGCTTGCAGATTCTAAAATAATTTTGCACTTTCGCATAATAAAGTTAGCTTCAGATTTTAGAAAACATACTTTATTTGAAAATGCGTAGAGACAAATTAAGTTTAGAAGAATGAAGGTCAAATAATTTATGAAAAATGAATGTTTTAAGGTGAAGATGTGGAGTTAGTGGATAGGCTGTCTACCCCTGAGTTAGAGCTGTTGCCAGTGCCTACAAGAATGTCCTGTTGTGCTGAGGTAAGTACATTGTCTTATGCAGATCATATGTTAGATACCATAGCAGATGGTATTGTAAATGCAGTATATTATTATTGAATTCATTATCATGATTAAAGTTGTTTAATATTTTATCATAAATGTATGAATTTTGCTTAAACTGAATTTTATGACATATTAGCAATTTACCCATTTTTCGTGCAGACAAAAAAAGCTGTTTTCAAAGATACATAAAATACTGAAAATGTCCATAGAAGTAAACAAAATTAGCAATGGAGAAATAAAAAAAAGGAATCCACTTAGTAGGTCACATCATACAAAGTCATGTGGTCTGCGGAGGAACATTACCTCCAGCAGCACAAGAACATGAAAAAGCGTTATGACATGTTAAGAAATTTGTCAGAAACCCCTAATCAATTGTTTACGTACTGTAATTAGTAAATAGGTTAGAAATGTCTCCAGAAATAAAAATTCGTGAAATACTTAGGTAACAATCAGTTGTATTCTTCCGTATAATCCCCACCGTCACTGAGGCTCTTAGCCTATCGATGTAGAGGATCCCAATTAATGATATATCCAAACATTTGTTCTGCTACAGAAAACGTCCGCGGCCCATCAGCGCATTTATGGAACAATATGCTGTGACTCAATAGACCTAAACAAATTCGGCGAAATGCAGCCCCAAGCTCAACATTTAATTGCTGTTCGTAAGCTGTGAAAATTGCAAGACGTTTTCACATTCCGATTTCTTTAGATGTTGGACATATAATAATAAATAAATCCGAAACTTGGAAAAACTGACAAAAGGTCGTACATTATGTCAGAAGTTTTGGATACCAGTCTTCCGGTTACTGTGCTGAACTATTGAGCAATGTTGCCCGCTTTCTGGTTTCGAGCTCTGATTTCGACGTCTGTTTTCAATGCCCACTGTCTGGTATCGATCTCTGTTTGCTTTCGATCTGTTTGGTTTCGATCTCCATATTGGCCATCAGTCCACGGCGATATATTGGTCATCAGTCAACGTTGTTTTCCTTGGCCGGCCACTAATTTTCTTAATGTACTGTACTGTCTTTGGAACTCTTTTCAAGCTCCTAAAACAACAACTTTATTAATTCGAAACTTTTGGGCTACAGATATCAGACTATGCCCCTCCTCAATCTTGCCATTCATTCTACCATGTGTAAAGACGTTCTGATGTTTCCTTGTAGCTATACTGCATCTTTTTACATCGCTGATTTAAAAAGAGCTTTAATCACTGATTTTTGTTCTGATCGCAAAAAGACAATTTCAACTATTTCATGTTGAAAATGAATAGGTTACTTAAGTTTTGCATGCTTGTATATAAGAGAAATAAATGCATATCTCTCATTCTCCTAAAATTAGCAATAAATTTTAATATTATTAATTTTAAGCATAACGGATTATCAAAGCCGTGCATAACTTAGCAATACTGGACATTTCAGGCAGAAAATCCGATAATCGAACTCCAGAAATACGTAATACGTTTCCGCTTTTTTTTATCTTTATTTCACTTTATGAGAATATGCATTTATAAAAAACTTTTATTGAATAAAGTGAAAATTAATTAAATTTCTTTGATTCAGTAATAAATAATAAGAAAGCTAAAAATTATATTTCTGCATCTCTTTTCCTTTGTATCAGCCTTTGTGATGCATCTACGGAATTACGTAGATGCATAAGATAAATCTACGATGGATTCTTTCCGCAGATTTGTGTGAACAGAAATAACATATTTCCACAGAAAATAGGACAATTTTATAAAAAAATATTGAACTGAAATTTTTTGAAAATTCCAAATCGATGAAAAATCATCCAGAAAAAAGATGTTATCAACTCATTTACACATTTTCGATCATGTGCTCATCGTTGAGCAAATTATGAAACATGCATTTTTACGCTAGAATGTGCACAAAAGGTATATATAGCTCAATATATATATACTTTATGTACCGAATGTTTCCATCAGAAATATTCGTCTATCAATTTTTAATTATTTTTACGAAAATCACAATAAATCAGAAGAAAAGAAATGAAAATTTACTTGTCTTGAATTGCTTCACGTCAAGCGGGATTTTTTTTAGGTTATTAGGCAGGGTTTATTAGGTTTTTCAGGTTTTTTTAGGCAGCCACTTCATTTATTATGATGAGAGCCTCCACTTCCTTAAAATCAGATTACCAAGCTGAAAATCACTGTCTGATTAAGTTCATGAACTTTTAGAAAGGTATCTTTAAACACTTTAACAATTTTTCTATAAGAATGCGTTGTGAAGTAATGCTCAATAATAAAAATCATTCGGCTTGGAACAAACTCCTCTCGATCTTGCACCAAGCAAATGATTTTTAAAGTTAACAAACTAAGATTTCAAGTGATATATATTACTTGTAACAGCCCGAGGGTGCCATCCATTGAAACAATTTGCTGATAATATGCATTTTGGAATTTCCACAATTTTTTTGAAAGTTTTATGTGGGAGACGTTTTGCTCACGCTGCTTAATACAGTCACACCGTTTTTGTGCAGTCCTTCTTTATAACATATTTTATGCGATGTTTTTATGCCGTATATGAATTCCAACGATGTTGGCGTTGTAATGTTTTCTAGCTGTGTACACGGTAAGGCGCTGTTCGCCTTTAGACGCTATATTCATCTGTTATCAAGAGTTATAACTTGGTTCAATGATTACTTCGTACCAAAAGTTGAAAAATATATGACAGATGGGTCTTCATTTTAAAGTGTTGCTAAATTGTTGACAAGGCACCCGCCCATCCTTGTTTAGAATATCCTAATGTACAAGAAGTGTTTACAACCCAATACGACTAACCTTTTACAGCCATTGGATCAGGGCATAATAGCAACTTTTAAAAAGCATTATGTGAAATTGACTTTCAGCTACATTTTGGAAAAGCTAGAAACGATGGAATAAACCTGAAGTTTGGAAAAAGTTTTCAATTTTAGACTGCATAAATCACGCTACTGCACCAATTGCTCAAATAAAAGAACGCAATTCGTTCAGATAAAAGAACACAATTAAATTCGTGCTGGAAATCTGGCTATCGTAACATTTAGATGCAGCTGATCAAACGACCGTCGTCGCAAAAAACGTATCACCGACTTTGTCTTAATAAAAAAAATAATAAATTGTAATATATTCAAGTGATGAAAGGGATCTTGAACCAGTTCATCACAAGAAGATGCACGTTTTGGACTAAGACAAGTAGCTGTGAATTATGTGAATTTTGTATGTGAATTTTGAAAATTTCTCCACGTATAAACTAAGAAATTATTTTTTTTAATATTTCCATGTACAATTTTTTAATCTGTTTAAAAGCACCTTTCCCACTACCTTCACTGCACTTCCCCACTAAAATTTTTGACATACTTTCTAAGTGCACCTTTTTTTATGCGATCCCTTTCCACTGCATGAAAAAACAATTTTTAATGTGTTGTAAAAAATATTTGTGATAAGTATTTACAAAATTTCTGAATATGTTTTTTTTTTTTTTTTTTTTTTTTTTTTTTTTTTTGTGCGGTTTCTTTTATGTGGTCCTTATCTACCGCACAAAGGTTTGACTGTAATCGCTAAGATATCTACTAGACTATCAAAACGGCGCGACAATAATATTTTAGGTTTCGTATTTAAAAGTGATTTTCAGCATATTTTGTTGGTATTTGCCATATGTTTAAAATCTCATTTTACTGCAGCAATACATACTGGGCTGAAAGAATCACTGCTCTTTTTTTTTTCCTGTTATGCCAGATATACACTGACAATGAAATACACTGACATTAAGAAATCCTCCGCTTTCAATATTAGCTTTCGGTCTGGAGTTCGCTGAACACTGGTAGTTCGTTCTGGAGTTCGAATATAGGCGAATGGTCTGGCTGCATGGACGTTTTCGTGTTTTTCTTCTGTGTAACGTGTATACGCCCTTAGAAAGTCTTTTACGAAGGCATCTCTCTCGCTTAGGCCCTCGAGTGCTTGGCCATAATCAAATAAACTAAACTAAATAAAACCGTTAAGGGAAGTAAACAGTAATATTTTAATAGTCTCACATCACATTGTTGTCATGCACATACTCGGTAAGGGGAAGCTACCAACCAAGCCCTGCCAGAAGAACAGCTGAGCTTGATGCGAGAAGGACAGCTTGCGCGTGTGAAACAATTTGAATTGAGGTTTCTGTATTCCGAGAGTGGAGGTTTTTTGGTTAAGAACTGAAAGGTGCAATGTATTACTTGTACGTTTGATGTAATTGTGAATAAAAACAATACTTTGTGAAAAGATAATGTGTATTTACAAAATGATAATATAGCTCATGTTATTGTTAAACCTGCTTAAGTGTGCCAGTTTATTTCCTGCGAATAGAGTTGACTAATAACATTCATAAGTGGATGGAAACGAACCGACAAAGATGAATTGGTCCAGGATCCTGACAATTTTATTAAACGGAATGAATCATGCCATGTTATAGAGTTACAGAAACATTAAATAAATTATTGGAAAGAATTGTAAATTATTTTGTTGCCAACTTGAAATATGAGCACAAAAGATTCGAAGCACATATCCGGATCAGAGGACGAAAGATCCGAAGTTCATCAGCGTATAGAATGATGTAATCACTGATTTGCCAAGTTTCGGTATTGTAAAAGTAATGTTTTAAATTTGTTCTGTTTTTAAAAGAACACTCTAATTAGTAGGGTTTAAATTTATCCATACCCTTTTAATTTTATCTGATGAACACGGAAGAATGAAGCGGAAGAATAAAGTTAGGAAAGTAACTACCTATTTAGCGAAAGCGACGCAAACTGTGCGTTTCCTAATCTTTTGCAAGGTCACCGTACTATACAAGGTTTGCTCTTCTCGACCTAAGTCAAGCAAAATGGTGACGTAGATATCCTGCTCCAAAGCAAGGTAGACCCACCAGCAGCCGAGCGATAAAGTCGCTGAACACTAGTAGTTTCGGTCAGGGGTTCGAATCCCGTCGAACGAGGTGGCTGCATGTGTATTTTCGTGTTTTTTTCTCCACATGTAACGTGTATACAAAGCAGTTTCCCTTAGAATGGTCCTCCAGGAAGGCAGGTTTTTCAATTTTACTAGTAGCAGATATGTAGACGCTGTCTCAGAATCCCAGCTAAGGATGTTTAAAGGATGTTGTTTGCCTAGTTGTTTTACTAATGGATGATAATATTTGTCTGCGCTTAGCTCTTCAATGTCAGAATACCTGGAAACAGATGATATCTCTCAAATGAACTGGCCAGGTTACTCATCAGATTTGAACCCGATTGATCAAGTGTGGGAAAGTTTAGGTCGCAGATATGTATGTGTCTTTGGACCTTCCAGGATCTGAAAAAGTGGACTTTCGGAAGAATGGCGTACAGTTCCACAATATTTGATCCGCAACAGTTCCACAAGTGTTTACTATCCACAGGCGTTTATTATAGTTCCACAAGTGTTTAGTATATTCTGTGAAATCAAGATGTCATATTTGTATTTCTGCCAGACGTGACTGTATTTCGTATTAACGAAAGATTTGAAGACAAGCAGAGGAGATAATTTTCCCATTAATTTTAAATTTCCATAAATTTCACTTTCAATTCAACATTCTGAGATTACTAAACCAGTAAAAACAATAGTTCTTTAAAAACATCGTACAAACTCTTTAATCATTTTTCAATAAGTTTTATTTTTATCACTGTCCTTTAATTTTAAAGGGTGTATGGACATATGTGTGTGAACACGGAGTATTAAAATCGATTACACGATTATCTGTTCCTTGAATTCCCAGTTTTAGACCAATGGTGCTAATTCAAGGAACCAGCTGAATAAGGTGGTCTGTTAGACTATTCTAATTTTGATCACAAAACATCTTTTCGCAGGAAATAATCATAAAGAGATTAAATATTTGTCGAGTCTTTCTGAGAGGAAAATTTCAATCACTAATTTGTTCTTTAGCCCAATAAAGACATTTTAAAGGAGGAAAAAATGAATCGGTCCTTAATGAGAAAAATGTGCCAAAAATTTATTAAATTTAATTATTTAAACGATTTTTATTGATAAGAATTAAGATATTGATTTAAAAATCAAATTTAATTAAATGTAAATTTCGAATTTTAACATTATAAAGTATTTTCTCCCTCCTTCCAGCATGCATTCGTGGTGTAACGATAGCACACTCGGCGCGTGTTCGAGAAGACAAAGCGCGAATTCTCGCTATGTCTTGAAGAACAGATACTACAGAAGAAAGTTTAAATAATCTTTTTATTTGAACTAACGTATACACTCATACGATGCTCACAATTCACCACCACTTGTGGCTAAAATAAATTGAACAGGTTTGAGTCCCGGCGAGGGCAATGCTCATTTTTCACATCTCCTGCTTCGATATATCCTACAGTTGATGACTCTACAGTGTTGCCCGAACTAAAAGGTGGTGGAGAATAATTCGGCACCACCAGGATTTGGCGATTGGGTCTGCTAATCCCTCTAAAGGGAGAAGTATATAAGGTATTTTCTCCCTTTTTCCAGCATGCCTTCGTGGTGTAACGGGAGAACACTCGACGGGTATTTGAGATTCGAGTCCCGGCGAGGGCGTAGCTCATTTTTCACATCTCATGCTTCGATATAATCTAATGACTCTACAACTTTTTTACAAATGGTAACTGAAGCAAAAGCACCCAAATCAATATTTTGGAAGCGCAAAAGTTATTTTTGAGAAATTCACCGTCACAAAGTTTAAATGCTCAGCTATCTTTTGCAAATTTTATACGAAGGAAATATTTATCTTAATGATATCTTCAGATTTTTGTTTGTACGAAGGATGTTTTTGCTTTACTAATTCGTCTACAGGAAGCATATTTCTCATTCACAGTTTTTCTTATGGATCACGTATAAAAACTTAAGTTTGACATATTTCTACTAAAAGATATCATGTAACGCAACCTGCCGTAATCTGATGACTTGTAAAGGCATGGCTGTACAGCCAACCAGTCGAAAGACCCAAAGCCCGGCAATAATTTTTTAAATATCCTGCATATATATATATATATATATATATATATATATAGGGTTTTAATGAGAGTTTCTCGCCAACACAAATATCGTCTGCGCAAACAGTTCGAGTTGGCGTGTTTAATCATATTTTGTCAAACGATTTTAGGCATTTGAAAGAAACAGACTTGCTTTAGAACACTGTATTGTGAAATTTGTAAAAAAAATATCGTTATCATTAAGTACAAAGTGTCTGAAATGGAACTGACTCGCTACCAGATTAGAACTATCATTTACTTCCAGTTCCGTTTAAAAACGTCAGCTACAGAATGTCACCAAATCATGTATACAGCTTTAGGTACTAATGTTGTATCATATGACGCTGTGAAGGTTTGGTACCGGAAGTTCAAAAACAAGGACTATGACATTCAAGAAGCAGAGTTCTCTTGCAAGCCTACTGATGTCTGATGAGGCCTGCCAGCGAGAACTTTTGGAAGTAGATCACTATGCAACCACTCGAGAGCTTGCTAAGGAGCTAGACGTTAGTACCATGTATATTAGTCGCGTTATGCGTCGCATAAATGTGATGTACGAGTTCAATCGCTGGATGCCGCATGAGCTGATTCAAGCAGATAAGGACAGATATGTTCCGGTCTGCATGAATCTGCTCAAATATCAACGCAAGGACAAAATTCTGGACCGGAACGTCACTCGTGATGAAAAGTGGATTTACTCCAACAACACAGGCCGAAAAGTGTGTAGGTGACCCCGTCGGCAGCGTCCCAAAGCGCAATTTAACTAACAAAATTTAATGCTTTTTATCTGATGTGATTACTATCCACAAAGTGCACCAGTAAAAATGTAAAACCCCCGACAGTAGGGTTTACAGCGAGATCCTAGACCATGCTGGCTCTGCTATCAAAGAAACACGTCGACCTGAGTTCCAGCGCAAGAAGGAAGTCACATTCCATCATGATAATGCAAGACCACATGTGTCTGCATTCACCGGCTGGACTCTGTACGGACTCGAGTGGGATCTTTTGTCACACCCACCATATAGCCCCGACATCGCTCCATCGGACTTCTATCTTTTTTCACACCTGCAGCTACATCTTGCTGGTGCTATTTTCCATTCTGCACAGAACATCTGGAATGAGGCTGATCTGTTTTTGAACCTTAGATCGGTGCTTATCGGTGTTTGACAAATGAGTTTTTAGATTTATGTGCATTTTTTCTTTAACGCATTTTCCATCTTGTATCAATTGAGCTCTAATAAACTTGGAACTAGTTTTAAAATGCATGCCCTGTTCACACTGATTTTGTTTTATATCATGTAAGTGTTCATCAGACTAATTCAATGCTTAATAAACCAAACAAATTATTAGTTAAGCATCATAATTAAGAAGCAATTTATTATCATTTTCAGGGTTTGACATGCATGCTCGTATTTGCTATCTTCGCAGCCGTCCTAGGAATGTTTCAGTTTGGATACAATACCGGTGTCATCAATGCTCCACAGAAAGTAAGTAGTTTTGCGAGCAGATTTGTTCTTTTGCAACGAGTTACCAAAATGAATTTCTTATAAAGTTAAATAAATAAATAAAATTGTATATTATATAGTCAGAAATTTCATGTATAATTTTCAGAAATTTCCAGATAATAACTAGTGCTTTTTTCATTGTCAGAATTAAGTTTTCCTTAGCAATTTTTGCCAATTCGAGGTTAAATTTTACTTGGTTTTGAAGTTCTGTGAAATGTTCATCATATCTTTTCATTTGCGCTTAATAAAGTTTACTTTCTGATGTACTTCGCATTCCAAACGTAATTGAAATTTATTTGTATGAACTCGTTAAAGAAGAATAATTTTAGTCCGTAGTCTAAATATCCCATTTTATATGTGTTTGATACGCTAGAAAGGAAGCGAAATGCACTTTACTTAAAATATATCTGTACTATATGACAAACACAAGTACAATAATATCTAAATCTATCTATATATATTCATAGAGAGAGAGGGGCAGGACGTTGTGAAATTACTGATGCAGAATGGATGCGTATGTTCAGCACAATTAAAAATTTCCTTCATAACATCTGTGTCATGCGAAGATTTTGCATAGAGCTAATGCATTTGGGCTTTTTGAAATCTTCAACTACTTCACGAATAAAATGATTTAGCTACATATTTTATGACTGTTCTTTAACTTACTTTAATCTTGTTCCCGTAAACGTTATAAGGTAGTGTATTAAAGACCTATCTTCGAGCTGTTCCATAGAGATATCAGTTGTAAAAAGCTCGTCGATTCATTCATAAATTTTACTTTGTAGTTAAGTATTAGGAATATTTTTAATATTTAACAAGTTTTGCGGAAACAAATCCTATTTTCCAATATTCTGCTGTTACTGGTAAGAATACTTGAAGCGCAACTTGAAGAATAGTATTGTTACGTGCGTACGGGTTCGTAATAGATTGAATGCACAAGTCCAATAAAAGGTTAATAAAATTTATTCTTATCAAAAGAAATATAGCAGAACGCTGGATTTTTCCTCAAAGATATTCGTAGAATACCCCAATATCACGCAATATAATCAGTATTTATACTTTAAACTACTAAAACGTTAAATAGAACGCAATCCACAGCGCAGATAAAGCTAATCCGATGAACAATAATAAAGATGTTTCTCTCCGGCTTTTTGAAGCTTTTTATCGGTCGCCAGAGAGCTCTAATAATTTCTTTGCTTCTCGAGATTTCTGTAAAGCAAAAGAGTAGAATTACGGTTACAGCTAACACAGTAGTCAATTACATTTATTCAATTTAAATATAAATTACGAGATATCTATTTATAAAATGTTAAAAGCACGTGCTTTTGTATTTTTACTTTCCGTCGTAGCTTTCTCTTAAAATATGTCTCGTTTTGCATTCCACGGAGAAATAAAACAATTTTAATTATGATTCTACTAACATTAGCTAAATGAATACAAAATTCATAACACTGCCCCCTTCCCAAGGACTGCACGTCCCGTGTAGTAGAATCCCTGGACAAGAAGGTATACTTACAGTTAATGCATCAACGCAATAATAAACATTACAATACAATAACAAATAACATAAACAATAATTACAATAAATAACTTTAAAAAAATCAAATACTAAATCAACAAAATGAGTGCTACTTCGCATTAACTCTTCTGCCCACATATCGCTTATACCAATTTTTCAACGAAACACAAATACTCTTGCTCTTCTAATGTATTCAAGCCGTGCAACGTGTAACTTCTACCGACTTTCTGTCTTCGATCGAGGTAGTCACTTTTCTAACACGAAGAAGTTACCAAACGCTACGCTCGTTGAAATGAAGGATAAAGAATGCGTTCTAGAAAGCTTCAAAGGTACATTAAATTGCCGCAGAAAATGTTTTAACGTGAAAAGATTTTACTTTGAAGAGGGTTGTGTTTCAAAGTTGCAACTAAAAAGAATTTAGGACTTAATAGGCGTAGTCCCTGAACTTTTAAATTTTTTACACACATGTAGATAATAAATTTATATAACTAATTAACCACATTTAAGTGTATGACTGCATATATCTAAATTAAGAAAAAGACTGATAATTTTATATTACCTGCATATATATTTATATAGTATTTTTTAACACAGGTCTGCTACAGCCTCACAGCTCGCACGTGAGTTGTTTACTGTCACTGGAAACTCAGCTTCACGGTCTACAGTTGTCCGAAGGCTTCATGAGATAGGGCTGTATACCAGAAGACTCGTTATTTACGTTCCATTCACTGCAGCACACAAGAGAGCACGTTTAGTATGCAGGCGACATGCGCCTTAGACTATACTTAAATGTAGTATCGTGCTCTTTACAGATGAGTCGAGACTCAGTCTGGATACTGATTCTCGGCGTACCTGTATCTGAAGAGAGCCTGGAACACGGTACCATCCCTCCCTCATCAGGGAGAAGGATCTTAACGATGGTGGAAGTGATATGGCTCAGGCAAACATATTGGGCGGCCGCACACCCCTCAGTGTGCTTGCGAAAGGTACGCTGGTTGCTATTATAAAGGTATTTCTCTCACTTTCCTAGCGTGTCTTCGTGGTGTAGTGGTTCATCACACTCGTCGGTATTCCAGAGGTCCGTGGTTCGATTCCCGGCGAAAGCGTTTGCTCATTTTTCATCTCTCCGGCTTCGAAAAAAAAAATCCTTATGTCTCTACAGTGGCGCTCATACTAAAAGGGCTGTGGATGATAATTCTCCACACCCAGGATTCGGTTGGCGACTAGGTCCCCGAAAACACTAGTCGCCCTTTAAAAAGGGGAGTATATAAGGTATTTCTCTCACATTCCTAGCGTGTCTTCGTTGTGTAGTGGTTCAGCACGCTGGGCCGGTATTCCAGAGGTCCGTGGTTCGATTCCCGGCGAAGGCGGTTGCATATTTTTCATCTTTTCTGCTTCCAATTAACCTAATAAATCTACAGTGGCTCCCGAACTAAAAGGGTGTTGGATGATGATTCTTCTCACCCAGGATTTGGCGATTGGGTCCCCCTAAAAACCCCAGTCGCCCTTTAAATGGGGGAGTATATAAGGTATTTCTCCCGCCTTACTAGCGTGCCTTCGTGGTGTAGTGGTTCTGCACACTAGGCCGGTATTCCAGAGGTCCGTGATTCGATTTCCGGCGAAGGCGATTGCTCATTTTTCATCTTGCCTGCTTCAAAAAAAAAATGCCTAATGTCTCTACACTATGAGGTATAAAGCGGACATCTTAGAGCCCTATGTTCGACTTTTCAGAGGCACCGTTGATCGTGGGTTCCTGTTAAAAGAACGATAATGCTCGTCCACATAGGGCTCAGCTGGTCGACGATTACCTGGAAAGTGAGAATATTCGCCGCATTGATTGGCCAGCTAGATATCCTGACTTTAACCGTACAGAACATGTCTAGGATGGTCCTGGGAGGACAATTTCATCTCGCCATCCTCCTCTGAGAACCACCCCAGAGTTAAAAACTGCCTTGCTGCAGGAATGGGATGGCCTGCCACAGGGACTCCTCATCCTGTCCAGTATGCCGTCACGCTGCGCGACTTGTTTGGCTGCAAAAGCGGACCATACTCTATTAAAATCATTTTCATCACAATGTATATCACAATGTTGACTTTCACTATGAGCTTTACACTATTGCCCTACACTATGAGCTTTACTGATTATCATGCTTACATAAAATGACTTTTGAATGATACATCTCTTTCTCTGTTATAAATGTATAATCAAACTGAATTTCATTAAAATCTATCCATTGGTTTTTCAGAAATTCGACATAATGTGCAAATTCTCTTAATTTTGCACACGAGTGTAAACTGATATGTTGCTTTACTATTTCATGAAAAAAAAATTTCTTTCTTAGATCATTCAGAAGTTCATCGCTGATGTTTACAAAGCCCGAACAGGGAAGGACATCTCAGAGGATTTTCGGGACTTATTGTGGTCTTTGATTGTATCTGTATTTGCCATTGGAGGGATGATTGGAGGCATGATTGGGGGTTCTATTGCTGACAAATTCGGAAGGTTAGTAAGTTTAAATAATGCTATGTACCAATATTCAGCTATATTTAATGTGAAAGTTACTCTTTGGTTTTTAATTTAATATTCAGCATGAAACTTGCAAGTATAATTTTTTTATGTATGTAATAAATTTAGTAAATTAAACGTATCGATTTTGTTTTTAAATACATTCATTTTACACAGCTGCAAGAAGAAAGTAATCAGTTTCGGTTCTCATATATTTTCTGTAGAGGGAAAAAAATTTATTAGGATGGTAGTTGTTGATTCAGTTTCATTTTCATTTATTCATTCATAGCAATCATAGACTAAAGTATAGACTTCACAAAAACTGAAGCATATGCAATTAACCATACGTCTAAACTAAAATTACAAAATTAATTACAGAAATTAATAGAAAAAACAAACAGGATACGTACTGAATATTAACTTTCTCTGAAATTAAGTTACAAGATTATGAGATGAAGTTAATAAAATATTTAATTTTGGGATCAATTTAAGGTTTGCTGATCTCTAATTAAATTCCAAAAATAAATTTAGCCTTCAAGTTTAAATTTGTTGTACTTTATTTTTTGTTACTTATAACCGTTGCCAAATTATCGTGTATTGTACAAAATCTTACAGTTTAATAATATTTTATGCATATCTCTTTTTATTTACACTTTAAATTTCTTATTTTTAGGAAAGGAGGTTTACTAGTGAATAATGCATTCGGTATTATTGGAGCAGCTCTAATGGGATCTAGCAAAATTTCACAAAGTATAGAGATCCTCGTAGTGGGCAGGCTTATTATAGGAATGAATTGCGGTAAGGCATTTCTCTTTTAAACAGCATTTTCCACTCAGTTACTGACATTCACACTATTAACTACTGAAAATCATGTACTGAAACGCAAGAATAAAAATTTCTCTTGCCCAAGCCCTTTATGTACAGATCATGAATATTATTTAAATGTATTATTTCGACACTCTTGACGAGCCTTTTAAAAACAGTTCATACTGATATTTAAATGGTTGATTTGGATACTTAATTAATTAAAAAATTGCTTTTGGTGGAAGGTTTGTTTTTTTCTTCGTTATGGAATTACTGTGTAAACGAAACTTTCACAGTTTTTGATGGCAGTAAAGATCCAAATTTTGGCAGTTAAGTCCTAATGGTTTTGGCCCGAATCCCCGAAATTTCTAAGCAGACGTGAAAAAGAGGCATTTCCTTGATGGGTAATTCCAAAATGCCTCTGTTATTTTACACTCAGACTCTTTTCCTTCCGATATACTGCCTTAACAGTTTGGACCTATTTCATGATGCATGTATGTATACCAACTTAAAGGGGTTACGACAAATATAACTGAAAACGTATACTACGCATGATTGCTTGTCGGTTTTTACTAGAAAGATAAATTAACAGATATCTTATCAAGTACACATTTCACTGATTGTCGCCAAGACAGTATAGTGATTAGGGAAGCCTACTGCGGTACCGAAGGGCCCGGGTCGAATCCTGGAGAAGGCATGGTTGTAACTGTCTGTCCCCCCTTGATAGGAGGCGACGGTTGTAACTGTCCGTCCCTTGATAAGAGGCCTATTAGGTGCCTCCACAATAAAATGATTACTGCTTCTAGCCTTAGGAGTAGCCAATGCTGAACAAGCAAGTGCCGGTCATTAGATTTAAAAATAATAATAATAATCATTGATCCCGCCTTTAGATTTAAAAATATAAAAAAAATCCCTGATCTCGGCAGTCACCTCACCTTTTACAATGAGTTTCTCAATTTTATTCTTTTCATCCAATTTCTAATAGAGTACAATAAATTTAATTTCAGCATTTCATTTCATGCAAAAACTTTTTCTGCTTATTTTCCTCTCCAAGCAAAAGCTTGTCATTTTATTAAACAAACACAAAATGCCTTCTTCCTACCGTTATATTTTTCGAATTCTTAACGTTTTTCTATATGGTTTTCCTTGCTTAAGTCTTAGGAATTCGCCAAAATTTGGTTTTAGTTTAAGTATCAATTTCCCGATATGTTAAGTCTTTTCTTATGATTTTACATCCTCCCCCTTACTTTGTCCAAAAGTTGATGCTACATTTAGTTGATCGCTTTATTATAATTTTTTATTCCTATTCTTATATTTCTTTGGTCTATTTGAACATCATAATTATGGCAAAGTGACTCAAAATATCTTTGTTATTTTAAACTTGTGCCAAATTATTTGCAGAAGCTTACAACATTGCCTCAGACTGCTTAAGACTAAATTACACTCAGTTTTAAAAGTATCTACTTGGCCAAAAACATTGACTAGCTTTAATACGCTTGATGCTGTCACAGAACATGAACATGAACACATACGTACAGAGGATGTTCCCACCCTTTTTAGACGAGCAAAGCAAAATCACCTGCTTGGAATTTTTTAACTGTATATTTTTAGAAAGTATTAATTATCGTCTGCTACTTGATAGTTTGTTTACATGCAAAATGGTGCTTTTAAAGAAGTAATAGAATGAAGGCTACTATGTTTGTGCTCTTTCCAAAGAAAATTATTCGTATCTAGTTATTAAAAAACGCTGTGAAAGCCTTTAATGTATTTCGATATCTAAAGCTACGATAATTAATATTGTCAACAAGAAAGGGAAAAAAGTCAAAGTTTAGCGTCAAGTGGAAAAAAATGTTCCAAATACATATCCAACAAAAAAACGGAATGTTTGGAATGTCGCAAAGGCAAGATCTTTAATGTCAAAAGAAAATCTGCAGTCAAAGGACACTTGCAAAATTATTACAATACTCAGAGTTAACTGTAAACAAAGTGATAAATGCTGACTTATATTTAAAAAAGGCGAAAAAAACTTAATGTGCGTCGTTTTTCTCCATGACATACCACCGAATGCAGACTGCGCTACAGAATTCATTATGAGAAACCTTTATCCAGATAAAAATGGAAAACTAATGTTAGAATATATGAATATCTGGTGTATTTACATGACTGAAATGAAAAAGGACCCATTTATTGTCATCAAAGAGGCAAAAAAAGTATTAAAGCATCGTTCAAAGAATCTAAAGAAAGTTTCCAAATGGATTTATAATTATTGCTGTTTTTTCATATAATGGCAAATTAAAAATAAAGAAAGTGGAAAAAATGTTAAGATCAACTACATATACTATCAAGGACATATTTTATACCCAGTTTTCAAATGTGAAAGGCCTTCTTGTTACCAACAGAACCATCAATCAGAACTGCATTAAGACAAAGCATGCAGCCATATCTCAAAATCCACTATTAATTTCCTAAAAAATATGCAACAAGAAAAGGGTATCAAGGCCATATCTTTCACTCATACCCCTACTGAATCTCTTTATGAATCCTGATCTCCCTATCTACCCATGGAGTTTTTTCTCTTTTGGACTTTTAAAAAGCGGATTGTCTTGACATCGACCTGCAGTTGTCCTTGGACTTTGGAAAGTTGTTCAAGAGGAATGGGCTAAGGTACCTCTTAAAAATCTTTACTGCCTTGGGGAAGTTATGGTCTAGAAGGATAGTGAAGAATAAGCGTTATCAAATACAACATTCAAAGCACAAAACTTTTAGGTAAAGTATTTCTGTACTTACAATGAAAATCGTCTAAAAATGTGTGAACAGCCTCTGTATTAGACAAAAACAAGTTCTATAAACTGCAGAATGAATGTAGAAGTTGAAACATTTTACAAGTTAGTATACAAGTACATTTAAACATTTTACAAGTAGTATACAAGTACATTGAAACATTTTACAAGTTAGTATACAAGTACATTGAAACATTTTACAAGTTAGTATACATTTGTATATATGGATACTGATACATAAATTCAAAACATATTTTATTATTAGGTATTAGTTTTTGTGCAATTAAAGTTTATATTTGCTCATTAGGTGTCAACACTGCATTGGTGCCGATGTATTTATCTGAAATCTCTCCACTTACGCTGAGAGGAGGACTGGGTGCGTTTTATTATGATTTTAGAATTTAAATACGTGTTTTTCATAGATTTTCTAGCATCCTTTTTTCTTTTTTTTACTAGTATTGATAAAATTTGCAGATATTTACTAGATACCACAGTTCAGCATTTATTCTGCAGGGACCGTGAATCAATTAGGAATCACTATTGGTCTTCTGTTATCACAGGTGCTAGGCATACAAGCTATTCTCGGAACAGAGAGAGGGTGGCCATTCCTTTTTGGTATGTAATAATGTTCTGGACTATTTAAAGTACTAAATCTTAGAAAGAAGCTTGTACAAACAGGGTTAGACAAAAAAGGAAATGCCGCATAAATTCTGCCATTATTGTGCTAGAGCATACAAGTAGTTCTTTGGAGATGCTGAAGCAACAAGAATCAACGTAAGCTGCATAAATTTTCGGAAGAGTTTCGAAGATTCTATTCAAACCTTCAAAACTGAAAGTTATGCAAATGACGCTGATTCTTGTTCTTCAATTTCTAACATCTTCTACGACGTGTTATTGTAATCAATACCAGCAGTTTAAGTTATAATGTACTACTACTGACGAAACGAAGTGAGAATGACGAAGAACGAAATATATATCGAAAAATACGAGTTTGGACAGCACATTCCAGAAAACGTTAAATGTCCTGAAGAATATCACGATATATCGTACCGCAAATCAAAATTTTAGCTCACGAATTACTCTTTGAACCAAATAATGAAGGACATTTAATATTTTCCACAAGTTAGGTAGATTGTTCTTGTAATGGGAAACAAAAGAAGATAACAATTTATCCGACAAAACGATAAATTTCCAGTTTTCAAGGCTTCCATTGCTTTCTGAACTACGAAATGTGCTTTTTTAGTACACGTGTCTGCCCATAATTGCATACTTAAAGTTAGCATTCTTCTCCAGTAAATAGCCGAGACTTCATAGAATCTTCATCTTTCTACACTCATCATTTTATCTGTTGTAGTAAGCGAGGTATTTGTTAGGTGCGCTCCAATAATCGTGCTTCCTAGAAAAATCTCCAAAGTTTATTATTTGATAAACCCTATACAACAGATACCTATAATCATAGCAATTTTAATGAGTAGTTGAATTCTGCCGTATGTATCCTTCTGGATATATCGATATTACACATTCGTTTACATCTCACTTAGCGTAGGAAACCACTATGAAGAAGAGATTGTTTTATAAATCTACTTCTGTAGGTGCTTCCATTCTTTTGTCTAGTCCCTGTAATTATTATATAGATTTTGGAAGTTTGCTTCTGTTCTTCAAAATCTTGTTTTGTTTCAGAAAAAATTAAATCTCCTGCAAATTATCGCTTATTTGTTTATAGTATGTTAAATGCAGCTAAAGTTTTAATTCGTATATTTTTTTACTTGATTCTTTGAGTTTTAATTTGGAAACAGAAATTATATTATGAAACGTTTATTGAGAAAACTAAAAGCCGTACTTTAAGAGATTATTCCATTCATATAAGAATTCTTTAATTAGGTCTCACAAAATTCTTACTAATTCGTGTGATCATGGAATTATACTGAATAACAAATTTTAGCTTTTCTCGTGATACAACAATGATATTGAGAGACTTATTACAGCTTACAAGTTAACTAAAAGTAATTTGTGGAATTATTTTAATTAAAACTGAGACACATTTGTCCCAATAAGCTCCAGATGATGTTCTAAAAAAGCTTTCAATTAGTTTTACTTTTATGGGAAAGGAAATAATGCTTAATTTTTATTCTGTACAATAATTTAAAAAAGATACGTTATACGTTTTTTAGGGATATCTGTGATTCCTGCAGTTTTACAGCTTCTGATTCTTCCCTTATGCCCTGAAAGTCCAAGATATTTGCTCATTTCAAAGCAGCAGGAGTCTCTCGCCAGAGAGGGTAAGTATTCTATCATTTCATATCATACATAATACCGATAAAACTGCATTTATAAAAAAAAAAGGGCTTCGGGATATCTTAACTATATTCCAATGTTAATCCTTTTTATCAATTTGCAGCCTTGCAGAAACTAAGGTGCTCAAGTTTAGTCGAAGAAGACATAGAAGAAATGAAAGCCGAAGACAGGTCTCAGCAGCACGAACCGGAGGTAAAAGGTTTCAGAATAGAATTTGTTAAAATTACATTTTAAAGTCTACAGAATATGAATCGGGCATCAAAACCATTATAGGAAATTAATTTTAAACGATGAAAAAATATAGAAACGTAATTTTTTACAGACAGCTTTTACAGAAGAATTTCGCATACAGCCACCTCCAGTGCAAATCACTATGTGGAAATTGCTGCAGAACAGGTCCCTCCATCTTCCATTAGTAATAGGAGTGGTAATGCAACTTACACAACAGCTTTCAGGCATTAATGCGGTAAGTCATTCTAAACTCTCGGCTTAGTATATAATGAAAATGTATAATGATTAAAGGGACTTAAATTTAAAGCAATAAAAAAAGTAATTGGAATTTAAGTGCTGTAGGGTAGAATATTTGGATAGTTAGCTACTCATTACTTTAGGAATACTTTCCCACCTAATCTGACACAAAAGTCCCCGTTAACGATGTCGTTTTAAAACTAAATGATTGATTAAAATTATGGGACATGATGAAATTATTTGATAAAAAAACGATCGTAGTAAATACGTGTAGATCATTCTCATAATGAAATTTTTCGAGAAAAAACACCCTGTTATAAGTTTCATATCCAGAACTTTAAACGTAAACTAAGCTCTAGAAGAATGTCCTTGCTAGCTTTTCTTTGATAAAGTCTATATTACTACCTATTGGTCAACAATTTCCAGATACTCTGGGAACGTACGTAGCCAAATATACTGAAGATACAGCAATTACAAATACTTCGCGTAACCCAAATCATTCAGTGGACAAATTCCAATTCAGTATTAGCAATATTTCGTCCATGTGTTCAGTTCATTTTCATCAGAGGTACTCAATCTCCAGTCATCATCTCAATAAAATGCTATGAAGTCGTTTTAGACAGAAAACTTACCTTTAAAGAGCGTGTTGAATATGCGCTGATTAACTCCGTTTACATGTCCTTACACAGCATGCATGGTAGGAATTCAAAACTTAGCCTCGATAGCAAAAGAACTTTCTGTATCTCTTTGATAAAGCCAATACTTACTTATGTTATACCAGCTTGAGCAATCGTTCTTAAAACCAACGGAAAAATTTTTATCGTTTGCGCAACCTGCTAAGAAACATGGTCAGTGCACCATGATTTATAAGCAAGAGTACTACGTTAAATGATCTAAATCACTAGCACAGCTATATTTCAACAGCTTAACTTAACTTCTTTAATGAGACTTCCAACATTAGAGTTTTCTGCAATTGCTGCACTGTAGGATGATTATCCTACAGTATGAAATAATTTCAAAAGACTTAAAAATAGTGCATCACGATCTCAAGTGGTGAAGGTTGATCCAAAATAATAAAATGAAAATTTTTAGTACTTTTTGTATTTTCATTTATTGTATCATTTCTCTGTGTTTGCATATCGAAGGAATATGATTCTTATTAGTCATTTCTATATATTTCATAAATTTAGTATCTTTTGTACATCTGTTAATGATTATAGTCGTATTAGGACTGTATTTAATTCCAGGGATATTTTATCGTTTTATATCCTCTCCTGTGTCCCTTGCTGAACAGCAAAACTTCGCATTAATAGTACGGCGCTTAGCTCATTATTTCGCATTTCCAACCAACTTTCTGAGAGAATACATCCAGAGATTCAGGCAAAAACTCATAAGTGGTTATGAGCCTGAATAAGTTCCAAGTTTGAAGAATAAAGACTTTAAAAGCTATCGCTGACCATCACTGTACTACTTCTCCCTGCGACTAAGTTAAATGGTCTTTGCTAGCTCTAACTTCTTTATGATGTTAATGTGAGAGACTGAGGGCCTATCCAAAGTATTAAAGGCACGTTTTATTTTGAATCTGACTTGAGCATTTGCTCTGAATTTCTCGCAAGCTGGAAAGATTTGATTTTCTATTATTGCTAGTAGAATGTGTAGCCGTCAGGCTCATAAGTAAATAGAAGAGTTCACATTGAACCTTTTTCTGATTTTGCGTTATTCTACTTAATAGTTTTGACGGGAAGATAAGTTGTCTGATTGCTTTATATCCTCTCCTGTGTCTCTAGCTGGACAGCAAAACTTCGCACTAATAGTGCGGCTCTACGACACTAGGACGTAACATTTAGAGTAACGAGGAAACGTATATCTTCAGTAGAACACTTATGACTTAATAACACTTAATAACTTATGACTTAATAACACTTATGACTACTCACTGTTGTAATAAAATGAGTAATTCTACTTGATGTTTTTAACTTTGGTGATAGATTTAAAAGCAGATGTACTTTTTCCAAAGAAGACAAGAGCTGAAACTGTTGACAAATGATGCGGGTTAGTTTAATGATGTAATATTATAGATGGTACTCCAGAAACGAAATCTTACCCCGTATATTTGAAGCTTCCTTCAATTTCATTTACAAGTTTTCGTTATAAAGGGCCTAAAATTCAACGTCGATTTGAATAATTTTATGAACCTTACAATTCAGACAGTTTTATGGATATTTATACGCTAGAGTTTATGATTTTACAAGTTTCAATTTTTATTTTATTTTAATTTTTATTTCATTACCTTTAGTTATATTCATCATGTCTATAAATTATAAGATTTCAAAATGTTGTACCCTGATGATTTCAAAGAATCTCATTCCTTCGCTATCAGATGCACAGTCAAATCTCAAATGTACTCATGAAGTTTATATTTTCATAGGTACTTTACTACTCAACAGGCCTTTTTATGGAAGCTGGTCTTCCTGAGAATGCTGCCAAATACGCAACCATCGGTGTTGGTTCAGTCATGGTTGTTATGACTCTCGTCTCAATCCCTCTAATGGATCAAAAGGGTCGAAGGACGTTGCAATTGTATGGTCTGGGTGGAATGTTCATCTTCAGTATATTCATCACCATCACTATGCTTGTCAAGGTAAGAAGTGTTACGAAGCTCGAACTGCAGAATTTTAAAGCTCGCTTTATACATTTCAGTCGCTTTTAACGTTTAAACTTTTACCTTGATACTTAGATGTATATTACTAATATTTACCAGAAAAGCCAGACTACTATTTAAAATACACAGCTAGCATGCTGCTTGAAACCAAGCAATAAGACTCTAAATTTACTTCGTTGAGTTCCTAGATCGTAATCCTGAGACTTTATACTAATTTAAGCCTCCGTTACTGTGCCAAAGACATTATGTTCCAGTAAGTGCGGTAACGTTTTCCAGTAACTGGGCAGGTGTTGCAGTAATTGAGCCAGCTTTTGTACAGCGCTTTTCAAAGAAAAAAAAGCCTACAATAATAGTCGTAGTGAAAACACACCAAACTGTTAAACACGCTGAATGTAGGGGCTCCTCAGTATAGATATGTGGGTTTTCCTTTTCCCAGATTCTACATCTTATACATATATTTTAGCTATCCATTGATGGTATGTTATTAGAATAGCATAAGAGTTCTTTAAAATAAAGGCTAGAGAGCGAGAATTTTTCGCATGTGACTTATTACTATTTTGTGCATTACATTATATTTAAAATTTTCTTTATTATCAAGAAATAATAGTATTAAAATTATGGTTAAGATAAGCAAAAATAATCAGACTAATAGTTATAAATTATGGTCGGTTTCTTTTAGCATTACTTAATAATTATTTGTGCACATATCTGTTAATTAAAAACATCGTGAATGTGACAGCCGATGATCTTCATTACAGTCTTGATAAAATTCAATGTTTCAACTGCTTAATACACAATGGTGCGGAGCCGACTGGTGCACTCTAAATAAATATATGGAAATGGGAAAAAAGATAAGTGAAACCGTCCATAAACAAGTACGCTATTTTTATTACTCACAGCCCGTGAGTTTATTTTTTGAAAAATACATCAGCCCGAAGCCTTTTTTTAATTTCAATGCGTTATTGAAAGCTTGTTTTGAAGTCGTAGATCCTCATCGATAGCCCTAATTTAATTCACAATGGTTTATTTGAGGTTTCATACAGTTATTATACGTCTGGAGTGCATGGTATATCAAGAACCCCCTTAAGAAACATGTGGTATAGTAAGGTCGGTCATACAGCCAGTTGGGCGTATAGCAGGCCCTAGTCTGTATAGCAGTTCTCTAATCTATAATAACAGGCCTATAGTTTATATAGCGGACTTACAGTGTAGTAGATGAGTGTGGTTACGCCCCATACAGACAATAACATTGCACTGCAATTCTGTCTCAGATGTCGTTTCGTCATAGCTACGAATATAAGTAACATGTTGTAGAGACATTAGAATTATTTTTGAAGAAGGAAAAATGAAAAATTAGAACGCCTTCGCCGGGACTCGAACCGCGGACCTGTGGAATACGATCCCAACGTGCAGACCCCCACACCACGAAGGCATGCGAAGAAGGCGGGAGAAATACCTTACATACTCCCTCTTTTAAAGGGCGACTGAGGTTTTTAGGGAACCCAATCGTTAAATCCTGGGTGAGGAGAAACATCATCCAACACCCTTTTAGTTCGGGCGCCAATTTAGAGACATTAGGTGTTTTTTTGGAAGCAGGCAAGATGAAAAATATACAACGCCTTCACCGGGAATCGAACCACGGACCTCTGAAACACGTGCCCAGCGTGCATACCACCACACCAGGAAGGCATGCCAAGAAGGCGGGAGAAATACTTTATAATGTTACTGCACGTTCCAACAGTCATGTATGACGTACTACAGGAAGGGCATCGCCCACTATTCCGCTTTCTCCACCAATCGTGAAGGGATATCATCCCGGCGCATTATTCAGATTTGAAATGTACCAGTTGGTTCCTCACCGTCTGTGAAGGAAAAGGTTTATTTAAAAACTTTCAATTAATTATTTACGCTATTCATTTTTTAGATTTTTTTTTTCATTTTTCTCATTAGAGGCCTTTACTCATACTCTGACATTACTTTTTCAGTTCCTTTACTACTGGATTGCTTACCTCAGTGTTGTCAGCACGTTATTTTTTGTTGTATTCTATGCAATTGGTCCGGGTAAGTTACTCAATTATTTAATTTTCCATCTATAAATGTATTATTTACAAATAAGCATCTAAGTTTTTAAAATCCTTTTACAAATTTAGGTCCCATTCCGTGGATGATTACCGCAGAACTATTTTCACAGGGACCACGTCCAGCAGCTATGAGCATAGCGGTTACTGTTAATTGGTTCGCAAATTTTGTCGTTGGGTTAGTCTTTCCACAAATGCAAGTGGGTAATGTTTTGCTCTTTTTAAAAATACGTTAGTAAATAGTTCATGTTATGTTATTTAAGTGTATTTTCAAAAATTGTGTTCATTCTTCACAGAGGGTGTTTGAGCATTATACCTTTTTGGCTTTTACTCTGTTCTTGGCTGGGTTTTGGACTTTCACATATAAAAAGATTCCTGAGACAAAGAATAAAACATTCGAAGAAATCTCTGCACTTTTTAGGAGGGATGATGACCCACTTAACGTGAATGGAATGGCAGTACTCCGAAATTCTCTACAGCCGACGGAGTTGATATTTGAAGAGAAGCCAGTGGATCAGTGTTAGTGGAAATCGATTTCTCAATATTATTCAGTTCTTGAAAGTTCTAATTCCCTTCCTAACTAAATTAAAATTTGTAATTAATATTCTTCTCATGCACTGACATTGCAGTTTTGCTTAACATATTTGTTTTGAAAAAATCATTTAATTGTATCACTGATTGAGAAATTTGGTTGTTTTTCCTAAAAAATCGTGAACTGTGATTCATTGTCTGCATATCTTACATGGTGCTAGATATTATAAATAATGTATTTATTCTTGTGTTTATTCTAGAGAATTTTTTAAATTAAAAGTCACTGTATTTCCATCCAATATATTTTCATTTTTATCAGTTCTAAAATGTTTAATTATCTCCGCGTTATTGGCACAGAATTTCTCATTCTCCTCAACATTTATTTCAAATTCTTTCAAATTTACTATCTCAAAATTAAGTTGCCGTTACTCACAAAGGAAGTACAGTGGATGGACAAAAATATGGAAGCACCTTGTGAAATGCATGTTTGAAAAGAAAGATTGATTTTAATGGAATATGTAGGTGGCGCTGGCGTTTTGACTACTGACGCCACCTATACAACTTCGTAAATGTGCTAAACAGTTCAGTTGTTGTCGGAGTACTGTTATGTGAGGTTGTCATTGCATTATGTCAGAGTTAACAGACTTCGAACGTAGGCAAATTGTTGGAGCACGTATGGTAGGTGCTTCCGTAAGCAAGGTAGCCGAGGTGTTTAGTGTTTCAAGAGGTACTGTATCGAAGATTTATTTCGCATATTTGAAAAGCGGAAAAACATCATCTGCTAAATCACAGCGCGGACGAAAGTGTGTCCTGAGTGATCGTGACAGACGATCATTAAGGGCAATTGTGACGAAAAATAAGAAGACTACAGCTGCAAAAGTTACTGCTGAAATGAATGTTGTGTTACCGAACCCTGTGAGTACCAAAACAATTAGAAGGGAGCTTCATAAACAGGGAATTGCTGGCCGTGCTGCAATTGAGAAACCACTCATCAGTGATGCTAATGCCCGTAACAGGAAAAGGTGGTGCTTAAGTCATAAAGCCTGGACTATAGAGCAGTGGAAGCGAGTAATATGGTCTGACGAGTCTTCTTTCACATTGTTTCCCACTTCTGGCCGAGTTTACGTCTGGAGAACGCCATCTCAAGCCTATAATACAGACTGCTTGTTGCCAAGAGTGAAACATGGCGGGGGTTCTGTTATGGTTTGGGCAGCCATATCGTGGTTCTCTGCTAGCCCCATGATAACTGTGTCAGGGCACATGACTGCCAAGACTTATGTGAACATTTTGGCCGATCAAGTTCATCCCATGGTACAAACTTTGTTCCCCGATGGTGATGGTGTTTCCAAGACGACAAAGCCCCTGTTCAAACAGCTCACATTGTCCAGGACTGGTTTTCTGAGCACGAGGATGATTTGTCCCATCTCCCCTGGCCACCAAAGTCACCAGACCTGAATATTATCGAACCTTTGTGGTCTACTTTTGGAACGGAAAGTGCGTTCTCGTTATCCACCGCCAACATCGTTATCTGAACTTGCCACCGTTTTGCAGGAAGAATGGTATAATATTCCCTTGGCAAACATACAGGAACTGTATTTATCCATTCCGAGAAGACTGCAAGCTGTTTTGGATGCCGACGGGTTTCCTACACCATATTAAGCAAAGAAACATGTTTTTTTAAAGGTGTTTCCATATTTTTGTCCAACCCCTGTAATTCAACTAAGTAAATTGAAAATTGGTTAATAGGAATCTTCGGATTCGGATATAAACATACCACCTTTCAGACCAGCGAAATCAACAAGAAAGATCATCCAAAGTTGAATGCTTTAAAAGTTTTCAAATATATAAAGTTAATTGTTGGAGAAGTCAAACAACAAGAATCAGCGTAATATTTGTAAATTTTGCATTGCACTTAGGCAACTGAGAAAGATGGTTCTATAAGTTCATCGAAAATAGTTCTGCAAAATTTACAAATATTACTTAATAATATAAATCATTATTCGGCGCGTTATTTTAACATAAAGTTGATTCTGTAATTCAAAGACAAAGATATTAATTGCCTAATCTTTATCGATAATCAAGAAGAGCAAGATAAATATCAATATTCCAATATTAATTTTTGAATGTCAAAGGAGACTTTTCTGACAAAATTTGGCAATATTTTGAAATTTGGGAAATTTCAAAGTAACGCTGCACTGCCCAATACTCATCGCTTGTATGAAACTTCTTATCTAGAGTGATTCAGTAACTAATTCTTAAATTCATTCTATACTTTTCGATTAGCGGAGTCATTAAAAGGTAATAGAGGAAAGTACTAAATCGACTATTTCTAATCGTCTACGACCAGTAACATCACAACTTCTTTATTTTGCATGTTGTAATACACTTATACAGTCCAGTCAAGCAAAATAATATAACTATTTTACATAAAATATGGGGTAACAATTCTGAAAAGTGTATACGGGATAAAATCACAGTTCTGAATATTTGCTGAAATGTGATATACATACAATTATTGTTGATACATGGTTCAAAACATTCCAAAACGATTCTTAGGTCTCAAAAATGTGTTTCCGACATATTACCAAAACGGCACCAAGTTGGCGAGAAATCTCCAAATATTGTCAAAGGCCTCAAAAATTCAACGGTTTATAATGTCGGTCCTTCTTAAGCTATTTTCACAGTTATAAGTTCAGTCAGGTCAGAATTATAAAATTTCTTACAAATACAAGGAGTTACTAAAAATTAAAGCTTGCACAAAATATATGCTAAATTAGCATAAAATTATCATAAACTATACTGAGTTAGTGAAAAAAAAAAGCAAATACACAACACCACAAAATATGTAAAAAGCACTTCACAAGAAAATGCAAACAAATGAACACAAATATTTACAGAAATTTCTTATACTTGATTCAGTTCTATAAATGTAGCTGATGTAAAACATATTGTTTTTATCATTTTCTCATTCCATTTTATTGGTGCTACATAGTCAGTCATAATCATAGCCAGTCAGTAATCAGCGTAATGAACGTAACATGCAATAAGTATTCTTTTTATCGAGTGAACTTAATTGTAATGGGTAGCATTGTTCTGAAATAAAGGTTTTCCTAAATTCTGTGCATTCTGGCCGCATTTTTCAAAATTCAATTTTTTTCAGTTATATTTAGCTTTTCATATTATACATTAAATTAGCGTATATTGAAAAGAACAATAAGAAAATATAATTCCTTGCTTTTCGTCGACAAATCTAACTTTTTATAATATCGTTCCGAGAACACAGTAATTTGGTGCAAAGAACATTTAGAAATTTTGAAAATTCACAAAATAACACTGTGTCTCTAAAGTATCATTCCTGTTTCAGTTATCCTATGAAAAGCTATTCAACATCTAACTGTCTGTACTAGCATAATCAGAAAAGCTGACATTTCAAGGCTGAAAGATTGTCTTATAATATCTACCTAGTTACGCGTTTAAATAATTAACTTTCTTCTACTTAGAGAATCAACCATAGAATAAATTTTATATCTATTTGAAGTTTTAAATCTTGCTCAGTATCCAATGTCAATTCAGTACTCATCGGAAATGAGGCCTTAATAGACAAGTTCATTCCAATAGCGATGAACAGTGGTTTAGAAATAGTAGTAACTATTCCCTATTTATTTACTTGATTTCTACTTGATTCTACTATTTATACTACTTGATTTCTAAACCACTGTTCAGTACTAAAATAGGGAATAGTAGTAACTATTCCCTATTTTATATAGTGCATATATAGTTACTACTATTCCCTATTTTAGTACTGAACAGTGGTTTTTAGAAATCAAGTAGTAACTATTCCCTATTTATGTGTAATATACATATACTTAACAATATTGTTAGCTAACAAGCAATCCTAACTTACGTCGATTCTGAAACTATTCAAAATTATTTTATTTACTAATTAAAGTCGACAATGATATTTCCTTCTAGCATTAAGAGACTTCTGTAACTATAAATTAAAGCTGTAATTCTAATTACCTGAAACTGCAATAAAATATTTTATTTTAAGAAAGCATCCTTGCAAACCTTCGAAGGTCATTATCGTATTTCTACACTGGTTAAGAAAAGGGAATTAAAAATTGTCGTAAAATATCATAAAGTATACTTTGTTTAGGTTGTTTATTCTCCGCAATATATTTCATACATAGAACTGAATCAGGAACTGCCATTATGATGCCACCGTTTTTTGAAATTCAAGAACGTAGGAACGTCAATGTTGTCTTATATAAATGAGATGATAATGGGCAGTTAATTATCAAAATGAATCAAGTAAAAAAGTAGGAAAGTAATAGAAGTCATCCACGTAAGGGAATATTACGTTTGTTGAAATGAATTTAACTAACGATCTTGAATTCTGACGCAAAGAAAATACCGCACAGTAGAAATCTCCTTTTCTATATAGGCTAAATCCGGAGTAAATTACATTGCTGACAGTTATATGTCTAAACTATGACAGTGGCATGTAACTGACATCAAATTTGCAAGAAACGTAGTGCATGCTAGGATATGCAAATGATATTCCCGTGCATTCGCACAAGGCAAGTTCGAGTGGGTAAAGCCATCATACAGTCTATATATGGGAAGATTGTACAACGGGTTTCTCATTTGAAAATCGCATTTGAATGTAAAGATCATGCTATGCTTTGTGTAAGAAGGAAAAACTCCTACCAGCACGTTTCGGAATTCAACCATAGCAGGATCGTGGCGTGTCGGGACTGCGGTTCATCATTCCACGACTTTGCAGCTCATGCTGGTCCGAATTCCATGACTGTCCGTTAATTATGGAATTAATGGATCCAAGATGGCGCATCTCAGCTGCCCCGGGCCACTGACAACTGAGCGGAGAGGCATGTTGTCCTCTCGGCTTTCGCAGGAACGTAAGCCATGTCACGTACCCTGAGTTAGCAAACTGGCTTGCGTGCAAGACGACAAATATTTGCACGGACAGTGCGACGATTTTTCCAGCACCACGGACTGTCAGCACGGAGATCATTGTTGCTGGTACCCTTGACGGTGCAACACAGGCAGGCGCGCTTAAAGTGGTGCGACAAACATTAACAACATGTCGTCTTTTCAGACAAATCCTGGTCCTGTGTACCGCATCATCGTGGACATATCCCTGTGTAGAGGCACCGCAATGAACGGACGTTGCCAGCTAGCTTTCGTCACTGTCTTACGGACCCAGCACGTAGCGTGCTGTAATAGGTTGTCATTGGATGCACATACCGGTCACCTTTTCTACTCCTATGCGTTAATGTGAAAAGTCGCCTTTACATTTGTGACGTTTTAGGACCCGGGATGTGCCTATCTTCAAGGCCTTCTTGACGTCAAGATAATACACTACTGTCTTGACCTTCCTTGGCACAGAAAGTGTTCAAATGTTGCTCTGGTCAGCACATTCACCAGATCCCACTGAAATGACTCACTGAAAATGACTGGTCATTGGCTGTTGAGAGACTAGACGTTATCACTCGCCAGACATTACGATTGACGAAATGTGGCTTACAGCTGAAGCCGCCTGGAATGAAGCACTCTATCTTTCATCTAAGCTCAGTTTGTTTCGATGCCCATTCGTATTACAAACCTTCGTGCTACCAAAAGCAACAGCTCTGTGTACTTCTGTGTTCTTCTTCTGTACGCTGTGGATTCCAGATCTCTTTGCAAATTTAATTATGCTTTCCTCTCATTGTACTGTATATGTATAATCATTAAGATTCTGCTACTGCTTTTTTTCCTAGTATAGCAATTTTAACAGCCAGCAGTATCTAACACTGAGCAGCTGGTGCTGATCTTGATGAAAATCTAATATAATTTTTTTTATGATCACTGCAATCACTAAATATGCCCAGGGTGAATTCTTTCTCTTAGACAAAAGTTTTGTACGTGAGTAAGCATATAGAATATCTCAACATTATATGAAGATGAGTAAGGTTATGATCAAAACAATTGTCGCCTTTAATGAGGTTTGGTAATAAAAGCTTCACTCTGTTAAACATAGGAATAAAGGTCTTTGTAGTATCACCGACACCGAAGGATGAATTTTCTGGAAAATTATGCTTACATTTCTTTTGTTTCCTCTCCCAAAGTCTGCTACTTTTGGGAAGGCAGGGATCATTTAACACCATCAATTCCATAGAAGGTATTAGGAATATTTCATGCACATCAGTTATAGTCTACTGGTAGCCCGCTGGCGCATGAAGACTATCACATCTTTTTCTATCTTCTACCTTTTTTCTATTTGATATATCATCAAAATTTATTATTATTCACCGAAGTTTTCTGAGCTTGTGTACATTTTCATATTTCCAGCCCTTTAGACTATTTTGATACAAAAGTTATTTCACATTAATTCCACAATAATATTGAAGTAAAAGGTGTTTATTATTCGAGGGCATATTAAAAAAATACTTCCTGAACATAGCATACTGTGCGGCCGCGCTCCCCAGCAATGCAACTTAAACTTCATCACCCTACGCATAAAAAACTAATAAAAACTAATGAATTAACAAGTGGCTAGCCGTATCTCAGTTTATTTAATTTCCAACACGATAAGTAGTTGCAATTTTTTAGATTGTTCTTTTCTTCTACATGATTTATAACTGCTAATTTACCCAAAATAACTTACTGTATGGTAAAGAAATTATTTTAATTTAATATCAGACACAGAAAATTACTCCATAATTTTGTATAAGGAAAAAAATTAGGAACCTTCTAAGATTGTTTTTAATTGCTATTGAGGCGATCGGCATCATGCTGCCCGGTGCATTTTCTACAGGTCCTAAATTCTGCTGCCCGTTGCCTCGCTAAATTCTAAAAAAAAATCACCTCCCTTAAATTTGCTGCCTAGAGCTTGTCCTAAGTTCTAAAAATTTTGCCGCCCATTATTTTTTTCACGAATGAATAAAACTTTTGCTTGTTTTATGCAGCATGACTCATTAAAAATGAAAGGACTTCTTGATTCGGAAGACACTCATTTCGTAATCATTTTCATGTTTCAGGCGAATTCCATCATCGACATCACTGCCGTTTACGAAACATGCCAGGAGGCCCCAAGGAATTCGCTGAAGTAACGCCAAACCATGTGGAAGATGCACTATGACGGAAAGCGTGTAAGCACTACCTCGTTCAACTCGCTCGCACTCTTATTGTATCTAAGGTAAAGCATGATGATTTGCTGTAATTTATTTTTATCACTAAGTTTTCTAAATCTAGAAATTTTAAAGTAAACATATTTTAGAATTTCATTCTGAATTCGAAAGAAAATGTGAATACAGATGACGTATAAAAAAGTGTCCAAAGTTTCATACTTTTTGCCTAATTCTATTACTATTAGCTTCCCATTTAATGATTAACATTATTAATTTATTGAAATTAAGTATGGGAACATAATTGTTAAAAGCTGATGTCAGATGAATAGTTATTACATCTTGGAGGTACTTCATTTTTTATCATGAAGCATTGAAAGTACCCAATAGGTAATAAAATTATATAGGCTGACCAGCTTTTATCAGTATGTGTGTTTGGTTCTTGCGGAAACGTAATTGGACTGATGTTGTTATTGTTTTAGTATAAATAGTTAAAAGATTGAAGTTAAACACTGTTCATAACAATTTAATTATATTCTGATTTATTCTCTTTCCTTTTCAGGCCTTTACTGGAAGGAATGTGTAGACGCTCTTCTCAACCAGATCGGTAAATTGTGGCGGCTAACACGAAGTTAGAAAATAACCCCTTTATCGACTAAGGCTACTACTGCTGCTATTGCTCAGTGATCAGCCTTTAGCTCCCGGCTGATTTATGTGCATGTCTTTTAGTTCTAAAACCTACGACAAAAGCCCGACTGATACGTGACAGAAGATTTTTGAGATTTTTAGAAATCATCATCTCTACCATTAGAGGTTCTTTATAGCAATCCTGTACAGAAAGTTCTTTTACGTGAATAAAGTTAAGTAAACACACACACACAAACATATGTATATATATATATATATATATACACGTAAAACATACATATATATGTGTACGTATACGTGTACATACCTGTATGCATTTGTAAACACACATATGTATACATCTAGATATATATATGTGTGTGTGTGTGTGTGTGTGCATATATATAATTGTATGTATGTAAAGTGACCCTACAGAAGTTTTTAATTATCGGTGCCTTCAACTTCATTCCCCTGGATGATTCCCTGAACAAATTAATATGTAATTCCATAGTGAGCTGCTGTTCCTGTAATATCAATGAGAACAGAACACTATAATGTGAAGGATGGGTTAAAAACATCCTTTCCTGCTTTGAGCTATCACACTGAGAAGAATGTTGAAAGAATATTTAAAAAATAAAGAAGAAGAAAAACACAATAATACACTTCGATGGTTCAAGTCACTGCTAAAACGCATCACAGCTATTTTCTTGTGTTTATGTCCATCGTTGGGACACTATTGCACCCAATGACTCATTTTATCTATCTAGATTATGCAATTAGATCGTCTTATTATCTCTTAAACTATTAAAACTTACGAAGTTTTACAGACAGATGGCAAAGAACAATTGAAACTGTATATAAAAGAATATGAATGATTTCGAGAGCTGTTAAATCAGTCAGCAAAATTGTATGAACAACAGACGGCTAGTACATTTTAATGTCTTAAAAATCTTTTGTACATAGTTTATTTTAATTGCCCTATTTTTCACATAGAAGTATGTAACACATATTATTTTCCTTCCTTTATTCTCGTGGATAAAATCCGGAGAGTCTACAGATTTCTTAGTTCAATATGGTTTCTCAACCAATCTCTATCAGTGTCATTAACATAATACCAGTATTGGCCAATTATAGGAATCAGTTTTAGAAATAGGTAATAAACGGTTATGTGTATTTGGTAAAAGGCAGCATTGTTCCTTTTCTGATGATTGTCTAATGCAGTATGTTGTAATTCACAAAACCATATATTGTTAATTTTTTAAATATAAAATTTATTGAGAGTTTTAACTATATGTATGTATATGTATACATATTTATTATGTATATATATATATATATACATACACATCATGTTAGATGAATTTCTTCAGTTTCGTAAAAATTTTACTATGAAAAATAAATTAACGAATTGCGCTCGTATTAAATTTTTATCATGAAAATCAGCATGAAAGCCTGTATGCCTACTGAAGTTTAGTCCAATAAACTTTGAAATTTTGTAGCAAATAAACGATTTCTCCTCGTAAAATGAAACTTTTGTTCACATGATTGAATATTCGTTTTAAAACATTGAATAACAAAACACTCTTTAGAAAACACTTTAATATTAAGCGATCTGAGTTTGCAATTCTCTTAGGTTTCTTTTGCAGTTTAAAATGAGTTTTCTACCACCTAAGTATAAAATTTTGCAATCATTATAACATAGAAGTTCTATTAGTCGCAAACTTTAATTCTTCAAAAATAATAATCATCCTTCTATATTTTAAAATTGTTCTTACGATTAATTATTGAAATATTTATAATAAGAATAAATCTGGAACTTCATTTAAACATTTTATTCTTATTTTTTAAAAAACTTTAATTTTAAAATAAATAGTAAAAAATGAATTTCAAAACATTATTCTAATTTAAAATGCAATAGTTAAAACCTCTATCAGATGTTATGTCATTTACCGTAAAATTCTCATGATTATGATGAACATTTTTCGATATACTACTTATAGAGTGTTGACAATATAAGTTAGTGTAGATGTGTTCCTGAAGTTGAACTACAATAGTTTCGAAAAGTTAGCTATACACTTACCATACCACAATACGTAACATCGACTTACCTGTAAAGTAGTTGTTGCTATGAAACTACGATCTGCTATGAACAAATACATATATTTGTACTGATTGTTTCTTGTCTCGAAGACTGTCACAAGTTGTTCATTTGGAATGTTATTAAATTACGAATAGCACTTTTACTCTAGCCTAGGATTTTCCTTGATAAACATTGCTTTTTGCCATGCCAGAAGTGAAAATCTGATCGACCTACGGGAGAAAAATGACGTTGTCGCAAGTTTTTAGACTTTCGGAAAAATTTTGCAGCAATTTCATTGCGATATAAGCGCACCGTCTTGTTGAATCGAAGCATTAAAAATTTCATTCTCGATAAGCTTCTTTGTGAACTGCTGAATGATTTCATAATAGCAGTCTACACCCCATTCTTCTAGCCATGTAAAATTCTTCTAGCCATGTGTATTCTTCTAGCCATGAATTTCATTTACGGAATATGGGTTGTTGACAGACAAACGTGCAGACAACAAGTGAACATAACATAAAATCAAATAAAATAAATAATGAAACCAAATAAAATAAGTAATGAAACCGTGATAAATGAAACCATAACCTCATCAGTATGCGAAACATAGCCCAACATGTCGGCAGATTGCCCTATAGAAGCCGTTTAAATAACTGCCAGAAAATGTAGGTGTACAGTTACTTTTCGAACGCGGTTCATTTTAAAATATCCTAATAATATCTTAATGCTTTAGAGGCGTTAGGAATGAATTATATCGCATTTTCCAGCAATCTTGCTTGATATTCAGCATTTCGTTCTGTTGAATGTTTTTATCAAGTAGATGACCCTTATTTTATATTTACATATTTAAAAAAATGTAAGTGTTTATATAGATCTATAGCATTTATACGTCATTCAGCTCAGAAGAAAGCAAAGCAGTATTTTTCAGATATGAATGAAGCTTTATGACATGCCTACAAATTTCTAAAAATGTCGATTATATCCATTCATCCCTTTTCTTAAAAAATATATTTTCTATCTAACAAAACCTAGAAAAGATGAATGCAATTACGTGAAGCACGTAACTAATCTGGTTTTAAAACCGGCATGCGGTTTATGAATGCAATTTATTTTACCACCATCTGTTACAATTAGTATTCTTACTACTAATTATTTCTATGCCTATTTTCCTAGTCGTATAGACGTGGTTTGCTTTACTAATTTTAAATCCTTTATTAATTATGAGAGTTCTATACAGAAGTGGTCTCAAACTGTCGGCTTGCGGGCCAAATGCTGTCTCCTAAGCAATTTTATACGGACATCAAATAAATTTCCTTTAAATTAATTTGTATTATTATGACATTAATTTTTATGATAAAAATTTAAAGAAAATATTTAAATTTTAATGATTTATAGCCCAATTGTACATTATTTTCATTACCATTAAAAGCAAACTTGAGTAACACCCTAGAAAGTCTACAAATGGAGCTAATTAATTTACACTGGGGTATAAACCTTATTCAAGGATTTAAAGATAGAAATTTAATTATTTTACTCTGTGATATAAGTCTTATGCAAAGATTTAAGATACAGATTTGATTAACATCTTTCACACCTGTCAAAAGATAAATACCTCGCAAATTTTTACAATAAGAATAAACGCTTTGTTTCGGAGTATATTTATACATGAACAGTTTTTTTCCCGTGGTTAAAAATTAATAAGTCTAAAAAAGAACGAGGCTAATCGATGAGCATCTTCGATTTGTGATGAAGATAGTTTCTAGTAATTTTTCTGTAAGATTAAAATCTTCATCAAATTCGAAACGCCATGCGGTGTTGCAGCTGAATGTTGTAAGAAATAAAAGAGTATTTGTAAATAATTATTTACAAATAAATATATGCATTTATTCTGTATGCGGCAAAAGAAAATTTAGTAAATAATAAAATGAGAATAGGTTGTCATTATTTATTTTCAAGTATTGTCCCACTGGAAAGTTTCCGTAATTTTTTTATTTTCGGTTTAAATAATTTATTTAGTAGTTTATTCAACATATTAGAATTACTTGAAATAATGTCAGTCGAAAAAAAAATAATGTTTAAAAGTCAATACGTTTGAATTACAAAGTGTAACCAACAGAAATTTCTTGCAGATACCAGCCATTAGATTTTAAACAATAAATATGAACTGAAATTTTTTAGTTTGTGCCTTATTATTACTATTTATGTATGTCTTGATGAACATTTAGCAGGTAAACTTTAAAATTTAGTTAAAAAAGCTTTCTTTTATAATAAAAACATTTTCTTTTGTTAAAAAAAAAGTTATTCAGCTCGTCAGCTGCTTTTAGATCCTGCATTCAGTCCACGTGCAATCTGAGTTTGAAACCATTGGTATACAACATTCCTTTTCATCATGCCATAGTTAAGAAATATTGCTTCTTATACCAGTACACCATAATTTAAGCAGTAATGCTTCTTTTACTTTTATTACGTATGCATAATATACAGCAACTCTGACAATTTCTTTCAGTAACGCAGAAGTTTATACTGAATGTAAAACTCATGGATATATTTTTTATAAAGGTTATGAAATCTTATCAAAGATTTTATAAATACCAGCTTCAGTTCTTAAATACTAGCGTTAATAAAATCTAATTTCTTAAATATTAGCGTTTTCTCAGTTTCGAAAATAAGCATACTGATGCAATATTTTATAATATCTGGAAAGTCTGATACATCGGTATGTATAAATTAAAGGCGAAGTGGAAAAATAACACATCAGCGCAATAAAGATGCGGAACCAACCGAAATACCAGTCAGGAGATCTTCTAAAATGTGAGACGGTAGAGCCTGCGCATATACGAAGCACGATGCATTATGGGCACGGGAGAATGACGTAAAGCGCAAAGGCTGTGTATCCTTAGCATTTCAAAGGCTGCATAGCTCACATCTGTTTGAACGACGCTAAGGTGATATCGTGGTATGATATGCCCAACGGATAGTCGTCTCGTAAGCAAGATGTGGACGACTTTAAAAGGTCGAATCGCTGGAAAATTGGAAGAAAATTGAAGCGCGACTAATGTGGCCATGGAGATCGGGAATAGATGAGTCATCAGTAGCATGTCATGAGCTCCGATATTTCGAAAGACAGGATTGGATTTATTGAATTTGCACGCTAGGATTATCAACGTAAAGAAAGAGATGACTTCGTGGATAACTTTTAAGGGAAAGTGGTCGAACGACAGGAACAATATCAGAAAATTTACTAATGACAGTTCATCACCAATCACATCGACAAAGATTCGGAATCTTGTCTAACAATCTAGCAAGATATCGACGTCAGAGAATGGTTGAATTTACAAAACACATGTAACGCACAGCTGGATGCCCGATGCGCAGGATACTGCAGCTAATTTGCTTGCTCAGCGACCATTGTAATGTGTGTCATTTACTTTCATCCATAAGGGATCCATAGGAGGGTTTTCTATTGTGTCGGAGATGGTGGAGCTTAATAGTTTAATTGAGAGCTCTTCATAGATAAGAGCCGTTTAAATCTCCTAGATAAATTCTGGGCATTTTAATATCTTAAGAGGAAAAGCGAACACGCTATGAGTTCTCCACTCTCGTCGAGTAGCTCCGGTTTGGAAGTGGTAGAATTCTTAAAAAGAAATAATGCACGGTGACGTAGGAAGTTCCAGTTTTCTCACAGAAGATCAGCCACTGGTGACGACGATTGTACCAAGTTCCTCTTCCCCATGTGCGTCTTTCCGAGGTGATGTGAGCCTTGAGTTCCTCTTCATGGAACTCAGTTGTTGAAAAGTGAAGAAAGTGAATGTTGGAAAGTGAAGATATTTGCCGCAAGGATTGGCCCACATGACCCAGGGCCTAAAACCCAGTTAACACCTTTAAGGCGATCTCAAGAGAAGCCTGGCAGCACAACGCCAGCTGCCAGCAAGGACTCTGCACTTGTGATCAGAGTTATAACACTAATGGATCATGATGCCTCAAGAGCTCGTAAATAACTTCATAATGAGGAGGAACAAACAGTGCCCATCTTGCACTGCAGTTTGAAGTAATTATATCTCCAATTCAGAACTTCACTTTTTCCTTCCCTGATACATGGACGGTTTTTTTCATACGGATATTTATGTCTTCTTTTTTGTTGTGCTTGTAACCCAATTTTGAATAAAGCTCCTTTGCGTCCTTTCTACTTGAAGCTTTGTCCACTTTTTCCACAATTTTACATCTCGACGCTGCTATGCTTTTAACAGATCTGAAATATTGTTGAGCGATTGTGCATGCAAAAACCTGTCCTTCCTTGTGTTCCAGTGTATGATATGTTCCCTTTTTACGTTCTCTAATAAAGAAATAAAAGACATCTGCGATCTTTCACTAAACATTCATTTACTTTTACCATTAGTTTAAATTATTGAAATCTGAGAGCTTTTTATTTTTCTGGGTGGGAAGAA